TCCCTGCACAGTCCAGATTCATGGCACCACTGGTCTTCAGCAGTCGTCTTCTGCGTTCATGTCATGAAAAAACATGTGCCATGTTTCCTCTTCCAGGTTTCTACTGCCTCTTTTTCTCTCCCCTTTGTCTTCCTCTGTTTTTTGGAAGTACGGTTGCAGTTTGTTCACCCCCAGTCTTACGCAGTCCTCTACTGGGAGGCTCAGATGCTTGTACGGCAGCAAGTTCTTAGGTTTTTCCGCAGAGCATTTTTGAAGCAGAAAACTAACTGGTCAAAGTGGCCCATCAGGGTCCTTTGCTTTTTTGTCAAGTAGCCAAACAGCACAGCCTCCCCATTCAGGTTCATCCCCCTGTCGGCAACCAGAGGAGCCAGATCACTTTCCCTAAGACTTCTCTGGTTTGTGCAGTTCCAGAGCAGTGATCAGTTGTCTGTATCCCAGGCAGGTCTGGGGGGCTGCCAACTCCCACTCTGGGCTGCACTTCCCGCACTGGGATTACTCGGTGGATATCTGCCGGTTGAGATCCCTCTGTTCTTTCTGTAGGCCTTTGTGACACGTGCTTTTCCACAGGGCCTAGGAGCTATCACTGGGCATTTCTACACAAGATGCTGAAAGCTCAGTAGACTAATTCTACTGCGCATTAGCATCACCTAAAAGACATGCACCAGCGCTACTGCAGTAGCACCAATTATGGTGCATTAACTTAGTATCTGTTGTTACAGGTCCTCAACTTAATGCGCCATAATAATTATGGCACATTAATGCATGTATAGACGTGCCCACTGGGGAACACGCTCACCAGCAACAGTCTGTCTCTCGCTACTACTTGCATCAGGGTTTCTGGGCCTTGTCTTTCAGCTCGTAGGGGTTGTGGAACTGCTCCAGGATCTGGTTGGACCATGGAGGGTCCCAGGCCCACAAGTGTGTTCTGGGCACAGTGTACACCTGCCATGCTGGAGCAGGCCTCCATCAGAATACCAGATAAAGCATGTCACCTTGAATCCTCCTGTTACTGCCTGGCTCATTACTTTGCCCAGAGAAAGAGCAGCATATCTGGAAACCCCCAGCCCTTTGTCCGTTTAGCCTTGTACAGGGTGGTTCTAGCTGGCTTTGCCAAGCTCGAGCCTAGAAGAAGATACACGTGTCCCTTTGGATCCTGCAGACAGTCTGCTATGAGGACCAGTATGAAGACCAGTGTGGTGTACAGAAGCACTGGTAGCAGCACCACCCTCATGAGCCATGCACCCTCCCATTGACAGGTGGCATGAACTCCACAGCCCTAATCTCTGCTCGACTGTAGCCTCAGTCTTGTCATAAGCCTTCTGACCCATCAGCTCTGGGTCCAAGTCTACCCTGAGGTTTTTACCCCCTCACTTGCAGAGCTATGGATTGCCATTAGAGGGCTCAGGACTGTCAAGTCCCCAACCTCTCCCCACTGCATGCAGGTGCTCTTGCTCACGTTTACCAAGGCTTTCTGGCCACAGGCTAACAATTCTGCTAGAACGGTGGTGTTGTCCTGGCCAGCTATGCCCCAGACTCTTATTAGACTGAAGGGAAGAGGTAGGAAAGGTAAAATTTCAATGCACGGGTGTGAGCAAGGAGTGAAAGTTCACATTCCAGGTGTTCAGGACTTAGCCAGAGGGTCATTTGTTGGAGCTCGGCTTAAGGCAGTGGTTCCCAACCTTAGGATCATGACCACAATTGGGGTGGCAACACTAAAAAATGGGGTCGCAAAGACACTCAACAGTGACAACTGGTTATGATGAAAATCACAGAAAAAAGCAGGAACAGTGGGTTTCCCCTTGCAGGCTGGCAGACTTCTAGCCTACAAGGGGCTGCTTGGGGGAGGGGGGCAATCAGGAAGGGGTGTCACGTGCATGTGCGCGCACACGTGCCCATGGCAGCCAGGTAGCATCTTGCAGCGACCTCCAGATAAGTGTAGTGGGGTGGGGGAGGGCAGATTGAGGACCCCACGGTGAGGGAGGGAGGCAATGGGGCAGGGTTGTGGCTGGGGGTGCTGCCCAGTCAGGCTGGTGCATGGAGCCCGGGGCGAGAATATGGGGCCCAGCTGGGGGAGCAGGAAGGAACCAGGGGTGACTTGTCTGGGGGACAGCAGTGGTGCTGGCTCCCTGCTGCTGCGCACACTCCTGGGGAAGGAAGCATGGCAGGGGCCTGGCCCCCCTAGATTTGTGTATGGGGCAGGGGCAGATGCAGGCCCACTGTGGGCTCAGGGCTTGCCTTGCTGCCCTCCTGTTCAGTGGGCTGCAGACGCCCCTGGAGGAAGGGCAGCATGGCAGGAAGGCTTCAGCAGGAAGCCTGCATCCTTCCTCCCCACCCCGATGGGCTCCACTCTGGCCGTGCCACATGCCAGGGGTGGGAGCATTGATCTTGTCTGCATCACTTTGGGGTGGCAAAAAATTTCCAATGTTTAAATGGGGTCATGCTGAGAAAAAGGTTGGGAAGCACTGGCTTAAGGGGTGAGCTCACACGAAAGGGTGTGAGCTCCACCACCCATCGACTGGGGAATATAGTGTGCACGGACCTTCCGACAGCTGGGCTGTGCTGTCCTTACCTGTACTGATATCCTGAACTGGCCAGGCCAGGCTCGAGAGGCCATCACTCATCATCATCTGCACCCACTCATGGATTTTTATTTTTCCTGCCTCTTCCCTTCAGTCTAAGAAGAGTTAATGGCCAGAACAACACTACCATTCTAGCATAATTGTTAGCCTGCGGCCAGAAAGCCAGCTCCACAGTCTCTTTAGTTTGGCCTTGGTAAAAGCACGCTCCATCATAAAAATAGTTGTGGTTTTTGCCCTCACTACTCCTATTTGAGGCTGTTCCAGAACCTCACTGCTCTGATTGTTAGGAATCTTCTGATATCCAGTTTAAATATGTCCATGGCCAGTTTATAGTCATTTGTTCTTGAGCCAACATTGTCCTTAAGCTTAAATAGTTCACTTCCTTTCTTGGTGTTCATCACACCACCCCGCTTCCCAAATTGTATTTATACAGAACAATCAGCACTGTAGCGAGGAAGTTTGGCGCCCAGAGCAAAGCCTGCAGCGGCAGCTCGCCCTCAACCTGCGCACAGATCCGGCGGGGCACATGCCCCCCCATGCTTGCCTGGGAGTGCATGCAGCAGCAGGAGCCACCCTCCTCCCATCCCTGTGCCCCCCAAATGAGCCACTCGCAGCACCATCCTGTGTCCTGCCCCGGCTGGGCAGCACCTATTGGCACCCTTTCACTTCAGCGCCTGGGGTGGTCACCCTGCTCCTCTTCTCCTTCCCCTTGCTATGGCACTGAGAACAATTACATCTCCCCTCCTGACCCTCACTTCTACTTCACTGGGCTGAACAGACCAAGTTCCTTTGGCTTCCTCTTATATAAGACAGGCTTTCTGTTCCCCTGCTTATCCTTGTAGCCCTTCTCTGTGCCTGTTCCAGTTTGAGTTCATCCTTCTTGACTATAGCAGACCAGAACTGTACATAGTATTCCATAGGAGGTCTTACCAGTGCCTTGATAAATGATATTAATACTTCCTTATCTTTACTGGAAATACCTCATCTGATATCCCCTCAAATCACATTTAGTTTTTTCACAGCCACATCACCTCAAGAACTCATGCTCATCCCATCGAATCAGCATAGGAGGAGTTTAGCTTGCAGCTCACTACAAAGAGGACAGGCTAGCAATCCAAATTAAAATGAAACCTAGGTTCTACCTCACACCCTTAGTTGGTCCAGATCCACCAAACCCGGATGAGATTGTTCTGTATTTTAATAGCAGGGGCTTAGAAGCAACGTCTGCAGTGATGGCATACCCATGAGTTTGGAGAAGAGAAGAGGATTGTTATCACGTGGCCACCCCTGGAGTTGAGGAAAGCATGTAGTGTAGTGCATAGGTCATGGGAGTGGAGAGAGTCACGTGCGGTTGTGGCCATGAGGGGAAAGAACACAAGCTAACTCTGTCTGGGCATGAGAGCTGATACAGTGGGGTGGACAGTCAAGCTGATCCCCAACTTGGGCACATGGAAGACATGTGGAGTGTTATCAGGTGTGTGTAAGTGGGGTCTGGGTACCCAGGAGAGCTATTACCCAGCTTTCAAATGGGAGAGACAGGTCAGACTGTGACAGTGAGGACAAGGACCTTTTTTGGTAGTAGGGACCTGGCTCAGTGGGCAATCAGGCCAGGAGCAGCCTGCTAGGACATGAGTGGATGGGATTTTATTTTTTCTCTCTTAACCCTCTTTCAGGTCAGCCTCTCCACAGTGGGCTATGGAGACACCGTGCCTGACACAGTGCTGGGCAGGATGGTGGCATTTGGATGCATCTCCTTTGGCATCATTCTCAATGGGATGCCCATTTCCATTCTCTACAACAAGTTCTCTGATTACTACGCCAAGCTGAAAGCCCATGAGAATGAGACTAGCCTCTCAGCCAAGCTTGGCAAGAAAATTTGCTTTAAGGAGAGAGCCATGAAGAAATTGGCTGAGTGCTGTTGTGCTGATACCCACATCCACCACTGAATAGCACAGCCATGCCACTGAAACTCATTACTCCGCCTGTCCAGGCAATGTACCTTCCCTCCTCCATGAAGTTGTGCCATCCAGCACTTTTACCCATACCTCCAGAGCCATGTGACCTGGTTATTACCCAGCAGACCACACAGCCTCACCCATCAACCTGGCCACACTGGAACCAGCCTACTCAACTTCACTTCCCACTCACCAAGTGATGAACCTAACTGTTCTACCCACCTACTTGGCCACACACCTGGCTCTTCGACCCCAGAATGGGCACCCACCAATCAGACCGCCATGTCATCTGATTACCCCACCCTTAACCAAGTCACCTGATCCCCCAGTGGGTGCATCGACATGTGCACTTTTCTGGAGAGTAGACTAATTAGCTCTGCAGGAAAGCATCACTGTCTACATGTGTGCTGGTATTAGGGCGCAGTAAACTAACTCTGCCATAAGATAGAACCGGCTGGGACAGAACTATCTTATGACAGAGTAATTTGCTGCATTGCAACACACATGTAGATGCTGACTGGCGGTGTAAATTGCACCCAGTTGGCCTATGCAGCTGGGGGCCTGCTCCGCCCCAGTTCAAATTGCTGCTGTCCCAGGCACACATATAGACACTGCACCTGCAAGCAGTTTCCTCTAGTTCAAACAGCTCCAGGTTTATTGCTCGCATTAATTCCTGTATAGATGCACCCAGTAATTGCAAATATTATTGCAGATATTCAAAATCATTCAAAACCCCTGACTAGGCCTGACCTCTTCATCCACAAAGGCGTGCACACTCACTGAGGAGAAGTCTGTGATGCAGGAACGAATGAGTGTGAGCAGCAAGTTTCCAGTGCTCTGTGGTTAAAAAAATCCAATGCAGCTTTGGCAGTTTGCAGGAATGAAGCAGAGACGTGGCTGCCACTCTTCAGTGACCCATGTGGTACACTGTGTTCAGTCCAGGACACCACATTACCAGGGAGCTACTGCTAAAGGGGCAAGAGCTCCTGGGTTACAAGGCTCGGGGAAACCAAGGCAGTGGTCACATAAGGAACATTTCAGCTTAAAAGACAAACCTTTGGATAATTATGAGAGCTTGAAATGCAGTGGTTGTGAGCAGTATTATTTTAATAGCCAAGGAGTTAATGGGGAACTCAGAAAGTCAGTGCCCTTATACTAGCTCCTAAATTACTGCAACCAAAGGACTCAAACCTGTCATTTTTTATAAAGATCACCAAGTTCAGAACATCAAGTGACATCTGAAGAAAACAGGCTTGGGACTGAAGCAAGTTTGGCAACTACTGATCCTTCCAGATCATGGCATGTGCATAACAGGCCACCCAGACCTTCAATGCACATATCTACGCCGAAATTTTTGGAGGAGTGGAGGCCATCCAGAGTTTCTATCCCAGCTTTAGGCCACTGAGACAGAATCCAAAGACCAGACTAGGTGCAGACGTTTGGTGCCTCCATGGCTGTATTTTTGTACTGAACTGTGGTCCCCTGTGGGGAGGACAAGGATTCCACCATTGAACCTACTGGGGACTTCCTTGAAGCAAGTAATGGATATATAATAAACATTAACATTGCAAATCAGATAGTTCATCATAAGGCTATAGCTGTTGTGCATAGAACACAACACTCAACTAATTTCTGCTTACTTTTACTGGGAGAAAAATCAATACCTGCTCATCCAAGTTTTTGATGTTTTCTGTGGGCCAAATTTGCTCTCTGGCACAGGGCAGTGCCTTACATCACAGGGTTACCCACAGGGCAAAGCACTAGTCAAAGCAGGTGTGCCAGACTTGCATGTGTGCAGAGACAGGAAGGCAGGAGAGGCAAATGCCCGAGGCTGCCCCTTGCGTGGGAACCCCTGCACACCCCTTTGGTAGCGTGCACCAAACACAGAAGAGAAGTGAAAAAGAAAAACAGCATGCAGCTTTTAAAAACAGAGTCCATCATTTTTATGCCAGTCTCATGACTACAGGGAGCCTGACTCAAGAGTTTGAATGCCTGGATTTAGTACTCAGTGGGTATGTCTACATGAGATGCTATGGTGCCGTAGTGTTGCCAGGCACAAACTGTGACGGTGATGCTCCTGCACAGTAGTAATGAGCTACTGCACAAGAGCATCTAAAAAAACCTGTGCAGTGACAATACTGGGCAGTAATGCTGGTTACTGTGCAGTCATTTAGTACTTGGTTAAGCAAGTACTAAACAACTGTATAGTAACAACTGCACAGTCCACCGCTCATGTAGACGTGGCCACTGTACCTTCCCCTCCTGCCTTAGCAGCTGGGCCAGGAGGTATGAGAGAGGGGTGAGGAGTGCTCCATCCATACATTGCACTGGCTAGTGAATGTGAGCTGGTGGGAAGGACAAATAAAATGCCCCTTTCTAGGACTGCAGTATTTGTTGTCCTCTGAGTCAAAGCAGGAACTGTGATAGTCTGAATGGCCAGTTCCCCCCTGAGTTGCTGCCAAGCTAGTGAGACCCACATGACCCTCTACACCATATCTAGCCTTTAATACAAGGCTAAACTGCTCAGGCTTTTTAGATCAAATCTCCCGATTTCTCAGGCACAACCCATTTGCTGACTGAAACCTACTGGGGCAAGTTTCTCACATCACGATCAGGAGGAAGGAGCGGGCAAAGCAGATGTGACCCGAATCCATCTTGACAACCCATTAGTGTTAACCCCAGGGTTGGGTTACTGTGTGCTTCAGTGGCCTGAGAGCAAGTGCATCAATATAGCCTACCCATGGGTGGATCTGCAGCAGGGACCGGACCCGGAAAAACAGTCTCCTACTGCCCAAGCCAAAAGACCAAGTTCTGTAATCCAAAGCTTCAGACTCATTAACCTACATCAGTGGGAGTCAACTTTTTTGGCAGGTGTGCCACAAATTAGCCCCAGGCCTTCCCTGAGTGTCACTCCAATCCCCTTCTCCTGCCTGATCTGCTGCTCTGTTTTCTGCTCTCTGCCCTATCTGTCACTGTGCTACCTGTCCACTCCCCAATCTGCCAAGTGTCACACACAGAAGTTGCCTGTGCCACTGGTGGCATGCATGCTGCAGGTTGCCACCCCTATAAAGGCTCCAGGAGAGGGGACAGGATGCCACACTGAACGGGTGCAAGTTAGACACGGAATCAAACTTGCATTCAAAGGCCACGTCCAGATGAGCACAGACATTTGGTTTCCCAAGGACAACTACCAGCAGCACACCTTGTGCCACTGCTAGCTGTCCCTGGGGAATACCTGTGCCATGTGCCCTCTGGCACACGGCAGATTACCCTGGGTGGGGTAGGGGAGGTTGGGGTCAACAACCAGCAGCTAGCCCCAGCAGCCTTACCTGTGGTCCTGGGGGCCAGGGACGCTGCAGCCGTGTCACTCCTGCAGCTGGGAAATGCCTGAATGTGTGGTGTGTGGCACCACAGACAGGCCTGCGGGACCACATACCACACAGCTATGCTCATCTGGATACAGCCAAAGGGGTTTAGATACTGCACAATGGTGCTCAAAATCCATGTGATAAATTTGCTAAGCAGCAAATCAGCACGCCCCTCGAGCCCTTCTCCGCTGACCTCAGACACTTAGGGCTGGACACTCAGGTCAACCCCTGTCCCCTAGCAGGAGGGAAAGGGGCAGAAACTGTGGAAAGAGCCTGATCCCAAAAGGCTCTTTCCCACTTGGGGAAATGGCAGCTGCATGGCAATCCAGGTGTAGCAAGGGAACCTACCTGTGAGGTGTGTACTGAGCAGGCTGCCACAGGGACCAAGGAGCTGTGCATGAAGAGGATGTGGCTGGCAGATCACAGGATTTGTTCTGTAGGGGAATCTAGGATCAGTCTGTGAGAAATGAGCAGAAGCCAATGTAGGGGCCCTGGTGTGACCCTCTGCAGAAGGATCCTGGCCTGGAGACAGGTACGTTTTTGTATTGCTAGCAGAGCCTGGCCTGGAGAAGCAGCCAAGCAATAGGCCAGAGGAGCCTTACTCCTTTAGTGGATTGCTTGTTTTATGATAAACGTCAACTGTTTAACCACTGTCCTTAGGGCATTAGACATCTCCTCTTTCTGCCAGCCCTAGTAAACTACCCTGCTACCAGGATCTACCAGTGCCTGTGAGGCTTAGCATCTGAGGCTTGTTTAGGGATCACAGTGTGCTTGGCACTCTACCTAGCACCTTAGGAAGATAGAGCGGCAGCAGTGCAGTCATTACCTCCCATTCCCCTATACTCGCCCTCACCATGCTCCTTCGCAGTAGCAGTTTGGATAGCTTGCACCCTTGGGGAATCCAGTGACTCATATAACCTGCAAGCAAAGTACACACTAGTAAAGAAAGGACGCAGTTATGTCCAGTTTGTGATTCTGGTTCCCTCGATTACCTGTGCAGTATGGATGTGTAAGCATATGTGTGTACACTTAACATGCACAAAAGGATACAAGTGGCCAGCTGGTGCACAAGTGGCCAGTGTATGCATGTAAATCATGGATTTACCTGATTAAATTACATTGAATGAAATTGCATTAAATTTTGTACCTGTATAAAATTGCATTAAATTTTATACAAAAGCTCATGATTCATGGGTGTTAGACACTAGAGAAGGAGCAGGAGTCTCCCATGTTTCAACTCCAAAGCTAGGTGGTGAGGTTATTCCTCCAGTGGGGGTTTTGAATCTCTATTTCACTTTCCCAATACAATGCTCTAACCAACACATCAGTAAGGCATTATCAAGTCCCTTCCCCAGCCCTCCTTTTGAAACTGGCCCCCTGGGTAGCCAAGATAAGTAGACATGTGGGGACAGGAGGAAGAGTGTATGCGACAGACTGTGTGGCTCAGTGGGCATATCTACATGTGCATTAATGTGTTTTTCTTAATGTGCATTAAATTTAGTACCTCCAATGTGAGGTACTAAATAAATGCGCATTAGGCTGCCCTAATGCACAGCAGCAAAAGCCTATTTTATTATGCATTAGCATATTTGCATTTTTTTATGTGATGCTTTAATGCAGAGTAAACTGGGCTACTGCACATTAAAGTGTAAACGTGCCCAGTGAGATTAATATTGTTCTGGACGGGAGTAGGCCTTGGATTTTAGCCTGGACTTTTTCTCCCAGCTTTTCTGCTGTGTTCCAACTGTTTTATCTGCTGACTGTTAAATGCAAGGGGCAGTATCTCAGCTTCAAAAGGAGCTCTGGAGAGAGGACTGGATAATCCCTCACCTGTGTGTAAGTGCCAAAAATGTCACATAGCTGGGTAACTGCCATTTGGGCACAAAAAGTGACATAAAATTCATCCCCAATAGTTTAGGTAAACTGACAAGGCCCAGGATCTGATCTAATCTAATCTAAACTCCTTGTCACAGCTGCCTTATCCAGCAATCAGCCAGGGCTGGGGTGGGGAAGGGGGCTATTTTGCCATCACAACTGACTGTGGATATACATTTGGTGATTAGCAGGCAAAGAGCATCTGAGCAGAGGAATCAGTTCAGTCTCATCTGCATTCCCAAGGCTAAGCAACTGCTATTTTGAACCTGTGTTTGAAAGAGGATTGGGACGGGATTAGCCCTGTTTACTGGCAGTGGCAGAAGACCAGTTTTCAAAATCACACACACGCAGGATTTGGTGATCAAGGGACATTACATCTACAGCTAAAGGGCTTTGTACAATATTATGATATGGATGGTGAGGGAGCCCAGTGAGTCCCATCAAATGCTTTCTAAGATAGAGCAGCCACCAGGGACTGGTCCGAAATCCTTCACTGCTGTTTCATGACGTGCTGTAAAGGACTTGAAGAATCAATTGAAGAAGCCAAGACAAGTTGACTCAGGTCTGAAGAGTCCAGGGTTGACACTCAATGCAAGGGCTGAACCTGTGGATTGGATTATCTTCATTTCTCTGTCCTGTCTGAACACTACAGCAAACACAGATTTGGCTGCTTTTTGTGAAAAGGAGCGATCTGTCATGTTGGCTAAGCTAGGCTGGCCCATGGACCCATTTCCGGGGGCCCTTGCTCCTTTTGGAAGTAAAAATTATGTCCGATCACTGCAGTGAGACAGTGTTGCCACCTCCTGAAACCAGAAATTCATCAGACAGAGCTTGAAGTCACTAGAATAATTGCTACAGTGACCTTCTAAACTTGTCAAAATGTCAACAGATAGTTGACCAAGTGTCATACATAGTATTAAGAAACTGCTGGAGGCGAGAGTGAAGTAACACATAGGTGTTGTTGCTTGGACCCGCCCTGAGCTCCCCAGGCAAGGCAGCAGGGCACAGAGGCCCAGCCCGCCTGTGACCCCATGCCTGCCTTGGGGGTGCACACTACTGCAGGAAGCTGCGCCCCGCCACCCTTGCACCTCTGGACAACCTGTCCTGGCCCCAGTGCCCCATTCCCCCCTGCCCACTTCCTCCCTCCTTCCCTCACTGTGGAGGCTTTGATCTCCCCCCTACACCCCCCCGCTTCCTCCATTTACTAACCAGCAAAATCTGGAGATCTGAGGGTTGGATTGGGAGATCGCAAGTCAGAATTATTTTGACTTTGCAATCCCAAGTCTTATGATGGTTTCACGACACTTGGCATTACTGGGAGCAGTAAGTGCATAGGAAGGTAGGGGCTGTGCGCATACAGATGTCACCCAGGGGCCTCAGAAAGGCAGAGCTGCACTGTGCACTAGAGAGGAGCATGGCTCTCTCCCATATTCAAGAGCCCATAACAACAGTGAAGCTCTTTCAGCACTAGCAAAGGAAGCCTCATCACAAGCACTTCTCTCCTACATTTAATAGGTACTCTGAAATCATTTTACAGATAACAAAAGGTCATATGTACAGACATTTACAGGCATACTGTACAGGAGGTTTTCCATCATATATTAGTGCTTCTGCTATATACATATTGTACAATCGGCAGGGAGGCCTTTCCACGGACAATGATTCCTAGGAGCTGTCTCCACACCACGCTGTGGGACTTGGCTTTCCTCTTGCCTGGGACTGGAAAGCTCTGTTCTATCATTTCATTTTGATTTCTTTAAAATGCACAGAGCCCAAGGCTTTCACAACAGTTCCCAGATTTAACCATGTTGTAAAGAGCATACCAACAACTCTAGGGAATCTGGGCTGCCAAAGGGGACTCAGACACAGGTTGCTTTTCATTAATCAAAGCATTTCCTAGGTCATGTAGGCATTTGGTGTAATTGCCCCTTTGATCCAGGTGGGGGTGACTAGAGAGATGGATACAGGACAGAGACTTGAAAATGCAGGCATTTTGCCTGCTAACCTGAGCAGAGAAGCACAGCACAGCCTCAGGCGGGTGAGAGACTCTCAGGAGGGTTCCTGGAAGCAGCCCTCTTTGCATTTTAGGGAGTTTCCTTGCTGCACTGGCCCGTCCCTGCTTCTCCTTCGAGAACCAGCTTCAGTGACAGCCGCAGCTCCCAGCCACCATGTCATCGTATTGTTTAAGGACAACGTTCTCATCATCATCAAAATAGAGGAGGTTGATTGAGAAGAGTTTGTCTGGGACACAGCAGGGGCTGTTCACTCCCTCGCTCAGTTTGAGAGCATTGATAATAGACTGGACTGTAGCATGGTTTGTTGGTCTCATGTTCTCACCCAAAGGAAAGGGACAAGAACCTTTACAGTGATATGCGTTGTACCCTCGTGGTGAAATGATCCATCCAGACCAGCCAATTTCCTCAAAGTCTACTGAGAGGGGGTGCCTCTGGCAAGGCAGGACTGGATCCAGCGAGCGGGTGATCCTCGGGCCATTCAGTTTTGGTGCCATCGGCTCAGCAGCGGGGACGGGAGTCTGAGGGTTTACATCTAGGCAAGAGCAATAAGATGAGAACAATGTCATTAAATTGAACATATGAACTGAAGTAAGAGTGAGAGTGAAGTAGCAAGGGGTTGGCTTTACCAGGCCAGAATATTGGGTCTCTCCAGTCCTACATGGGGACAATACCTGCAAGAAGCCAGCCTCATAAAACATATAGCTAAACAGTGCAATGTTTTGTGTAAGGAGAAGGGTCCTAAACCCTTGGGAGACCAGTTTATAACCTAAAGCTTGACGTTAAATTATGCCATTTTAACACAACTGTAGCTGTTCATGCCCACCCCCAGGGCAGCACTGACTGTTCTGCAGCAGGAAGTTCTGCTGGTCGATCGCATCCACAGGTTGGAAGAAAAACCACTTCTTTCATTTGTTTTCAGTTTAGCAGTTGTTAATTTGACAGAGTGATCAAATTATTAAATTTCTGTTTCCTAGAACAGCCTAAAGTCAAGGAACTTCAATAGTTACACTTGGTAAATAATCCTCTTTCACCTGAAGCTCCCATGGTGTTTTCCAGAGAGATTGGCAGGGGGGAGAGGGCAATTATTGTGCCCATTTCACAGAAAGGAAAACTGCAAAGGCTAGAGAATTACAGTCGTTCTTCTCTGAGAATGGGCTCTTTCCCCATGGTGTCAGAGAGGAGGAAGACTTCCACTGACCCTACACTGAGTTTTCATCATTTTGATATAAGCCCAGCTGCAAACCCTGCAAACTCACTCTGGGATCATAGTCACGCTGCGTTCTCTCCGATTCATGCGTCTGCACCAGTAATCAACATAAAAAGTAAAACTGGAAAAGTAAAACAGGAGGTAGAGACCAGCTTCCGACCCTATAGTTGTATTCTAGGCTCTTACAAAGCAGTGAACCTTATTTTTGTCGGTAAAGTACCAAGGAAGGAACTGATCACAGTCCCTTTTGGGCGAGAGTCACACTTTAACTGTCTCATGATTGCAGTGACTGTGTCCATCCCGGTAGAGCGCAGGGGAGCTGGCCTCACCTGGGAAGATGTTGGCTGGCACAGAAGCTCCACGTCTCCCATCATCAGTAAACAGAACCAGCATCGGCTTCTTGCTTTCATGGTGATCTCTTCCTGAAGCAAAGCGCACCATGTGGGGGGCATCCACGGAAGCCCCTGCTAAGCCACGAACACTGACCAGGAGGCCTTGGTTGCTGCTTTCATCTTCAGTCCAGTCGCGAACCTGCAAACCCAAACATGTTCAGAGTTGTCTCAGAGGTGTTAAAAAGGCAGCTCCCTGCTCCAGGGATGGCATCATGAGGTTCAGTATACTGACAGGGGTTATTTCAGTGGGATTACCTACTTTTCTTCCAAACCACTGAAAACATGTCAGTTCTGAAAGAAATCCACATCTCCAACTGCCCGTCCAGTTAATAAGGCCAACCCTGCTCTGGCGAAGGCTATGCATACAACACCAATGCTTATTGATGCCAAGACAGATGAAGGCGCTGAGTATGAGTGGTCCACCCCCCACCCCCCACATCCTGAACGACAGGACGACAAGTGGAAATCATCCTTCCTGTCCCCATCGCAGTCATTTCCTTCTGGGGAGCTCATAGAAGGCCAGCCCTCATCCATGCTACTTAAAGTCACTTCTCAGTGGACCAAGGGGGTGCCCTTTACTCTCAGACCCTCTGACTGTGACAAGAACAGTCACAATGGTGCTAATGTCCACAAGCTGAATCAGGGAGCAGGACCCAATGTGCTAGGTGCTATACACCCATGTAATAAAGTGACAGTTCTTGCCCCAGGGCCCTAGGATGATCTAATGCCATGACCCTGCCATCAGCAGCATGCAATGCACTTATGCCTTTAGTTGGATGCTTCATAGCGACAGAGATGAGTTATGTACTGCCAAGTGTAAGGCTAGGGTTTCTCATAAACACTCTGGCCACTTAAGAAAGCCAGGCTTTATCTGCAGCACATCAGCCTTCCCCTCCTCACCTCTTGTCTTTCACCAAAACGATGAAAAAGCCTGATGTCTGTCATTGTGTGACCCCCCTGGACTACCACTCAATTTAGGAAACATTAACTAAAAGCACTTTGATCAGAGGCTGTTTGTTGGTGTGTATTTGTGCAACACCAGACAAATGGGGCCCCGATTCCCGATGTGACCTCTAGACACCCCTGCAGTAGAAATCAGCAATCACAAGCGATGCTTAATAGTAGGGCTCCTTTTATGATGAACTGCAGTTATGTACCTGACTGAAACAAGAGAGATTTTAATAAGTGGCTAATCTCTTGATATAGAAACCAGCAGATCAGTGGACTGTCTGTAAACAAGTTTATCATCCAGTAAACCTTGTACTGCAGTGATTATAGGCACCTGCAACAGACCTTATCTGTTAATCATTTATTATCCTTCATAAACCACTTATAAATGTAACCTTCATATCAAGTGTGACTATAATGATAATTAAAATGCAATAGAAATGGAAGTGAAATAAATCCCTAATCCTAATCCCTGCAGCCCATCACTAGCTCCCGCCCTGCAGCTGTACCTAAACTCTAATTTAGAGCTTTGTGGTCCTTCAAACACCTTAACAGAGGTAAGCAGATGTACAACTGGCCACCCCTTGTGGCATTTTCTCTACAGTTTATTTCTTACAGTTTTATAATAGTTCTGGAAAATACTTTTCTTCTTTTTCCTTTAAAGTTTGGATCTACACAACTGGTTCATGATATTTAAAGTGCTTTTTAGCAAGGGTCCTAAAAAAGCACTGCATTTGGTATCACCCCAAAAATGTACACTCTGCTTCAGATATTATCCCACGTATATCCATACAGTGCTGCACCACCTTGCAAATATGCAGCAGAAACATAAATATTTCTGAAATATATATATTTGCAGCATAGCCCTGCTTTGGGAAAGGTCAGTCTGCAGAGCTGAAGTGTTAGGACAGCAGAAGAGGAGCTTGGCTCACAGGGACATCTCAAGAGGTTCAGGCAGTGAGATGCCACTTTATCACCTGTCTGCACACCTAAGGTTTGACAAACAATCCCTCCACTCAGCAATCACTCCCCTGGGCCAAGGGATCTATAGGGCAAGTATGGGGAGTCCTTTAATTTAAAGGGCTATACGCTGTGGTTTGGTGATACAACAGAGATTCTGTCCTTCCTCCCTCTACTCATTTTAATTTAGACTGTAGACACTTACAGCTTGTGTGATGGCAAACACCTCCCAGCCTGAGCCTTGCAGAGAGATAAGCCTGGCTGACAACAGCTTCTTCCCTTCAGAGGAATCTAGTTTGCTCTTGTCCAGGACTTGATAGACACTCACCTGTTGGGAGAGTAAAAGACAGTTAGCACCAAACTCTGTTGGTTAAGAAAAACCTCTATTGCAAAGGAGCAAAGAGGGGGAAATTAGCCAAGTCAGCCTAAGATCCACTCCAAGCTGCATGGATTTTAATAGAAACTGGTTCAGTTGAAGTGGTAGAGTTCTTCGTATGGACATGCTAAAATTATTTTAAAATCGGTTTGTGTCAATTGAACGTAAGTCAATAAGTAATCAGCTTTGACAAGTTCAGGATACAAGCCAGAAGCCCAATCAAACTCTTAGTAAAGGTAAAGTAAATTCAAATGCATAGTGGTTTCACTAAGAGCAGACTTTGTCTAGTGCAGTTTCTAAGCAGACACACATGCACGCTTTCACTCTCCTTACCTGGCAAAAGTGATGTCTCTTATAGGCAGGACCATCAGCCACCCTGGCCCTCATTCTGAAAAGATGCAGCTCGGCAGTAAGGACCTTCTCATTCTTAGCCACGCTTGACAGGATGAACAGGAAATGCATATTATCACTGTGAACTGGAGCAAAGTGTCACATTAAGCAACAGCGTCTTGTGGGCACATTCAAAACACAGCAGCAAAGGCTTTCTAATGCCACACAGGCTCTGGGGGCTGTGCTCACTGACACCAGGAGCATTGCCTTCTCGGGGTCTCCCCTTGGCTTCCAGTGGCCAAGCAAGCATTCAGGGCACTGGAAAATTACACCCAAAAACTCTTAACAGATAAGAGCAGAGACAGAGGTTGCCAGGGGTCTTACTTTTATCCAAGAAGCTGCGGACGGTGTTTCCCTCTAGGATGTCAGGGTTCTTGGTGACACCATCAGCATCTGCTACCGTGTTGTACAAGTCCACCATGTACTGGGGAGGCTGTTTGAAATGGTGGGGGGAACGGGGAGGGTCTTCTAGGCCAAATAACTCCAGAAGCCTCTTGATAGCCTCGGCTCTCCTGTCTCCTGCATCTTCTTCTGGCAGGACACGGTGGGGTCTGGGTGAGCAGCCCTGCTTCCTGATCAGGAGCAGCAGCAGCAGCAGGACTCGCAGCATGACTATCTCCTTCTAGGCTTCCTTGCACAACTGTCAGTGTCTCCCCGGGGCCACATTTATAACTCCGGGAAAAGATGAATTAAACCAAATATGCAAAAGAGCAATCAGGATGGGTAAAGAGAGCTAATTGCCATGCTAACAAGGTGCAAAACTGGGCTACTGAGTGCCTTTCATCAATTAGCCCTAGTACACAAGCTGTAAGGAGCGGAAAGCCCAGTTGTGTACTCTTCTTCTTTGACAGCAGAATGGGGGCAGGGGAGGCAGGGCGTGGAAGGAAGGGGCAGCAAGCAGGAAGGGACACCTGGACTTTTCTTCATAGTAAACATGAATGTCCTCTTTAGTAAGACACTGACTGAGCTGAGTTTGCTCTCTGTAGGAGACTAACTGCCTTCGAATGGTGGCATTAATGAGGCAAACAGGAGAACATTTGCATTCAAGAGTTAAACCGTTCTGAACAAAGAGCGGGAGGAAAGGATGGAGCTATGCTGCTCATCCAGAAGGTAGGAAAAGATGCACCCTGGAGATAGCAACCACTGTCCACATGGACATTTTTCTAGTGCAATGCCCAAAGGCATGAAGGAAGCCAAGAAAGGTATTTCACGATTGCATAACTCAAGGGTAAAGAAAGGTGAGAGACAGCAGCTTACCACCCAATATCAAATAAACACCTGCACCCTGGGAAAGGTGCAATAGGCCAGCCACCTGCAAACCCCGAGGTTATAACCCCCTCTGGTGTCTAGACCAGAGGCTCCCAAACTTTTTCTTAGTGCACACCCCTTTCCAGATTTACCAGCTGCCCATGTACCCCTACCAGCAATCCTTATATTTTAACCCCTTAAGTGCCAATTATTATAATGAAAATTAAAGCTGCCATTATACAATTTCTCCTACGTACCCCCCAGAGATGTCTTGTGTACCCCCAGGGGTCCACATACTACAGTTTGGGTCTAGACCTGTTTTGTGCATGGTGGGTGGCTGGAACACTAGCTGCTTATGGACACCTATACCCCTAACATTACTTCCATGGCTTAATACTGCATGGACAAAGTGGTTGGTAGCTTTATATGCCTGCGACACCGTGTCAGGGATGAAGTGGCTCAGCCACTCCTGTCACAGGGATGCATTGGAGGGTGCAGCTCAGCAGTGCATGTTACAGGGGTATCAGGTATTCTTGGGTATTCTTGTCATATAGGTATGGAGACTTTAAAAAATTTCTATCACAGAGGTGTCCTGGGGGCAATTCAGCCATTCCTAGTAGAGGGCTCTGTTGGGAGGAGGTGTCTCAGATATTCACGTCACAGGGTTGAATAGTAGAGGGATCCCCCTTTGCAATCAGGGTACCCCCTGATTGCAAAGGGGGATCCCTCTGCTATTCTCTGCTATTCTACTGAGAGCTTCTACCTGCTATTCTCCCTCTGCTATTCTACTGAGAGCTTAGCCATAGCCAACCAAGCTGTGCAGTGGGGCCTGAGGGGATTCAGCCATTTCCATCACAAGGATACACTGGGGGAAGACAGCTGTTATTGCACGTTGTTGCACAGGGTGTGAAGGCCAGAAAGAGAAAAAAGCCATACCTGTCACAGAAATGTGCATTGCAGGAGTGGAGGCTGGAAGAATATGTGTTACCCAGAGAGTCCACTCCTGACTTGTTGTCAGCGGAGGGCTCGGTGTTATGGGGGGCACATCCTTTCTTGTCAATGGACATCAGTTGAGGGGAGGGGATCCTTCTTCTCCACAGTTGTGTTGGGGGTCTTAACCGTTGCTCTGAAAAATGGATGTTGCAGGATGAACTCATTCATTTCTATCATAAAACCATGTTTAGGAGGCTTTTCATTTCTTTCGTAGGAGTTTATTGCAGGTGGCGTGGGTTCAGCCATTCTTGTCACTGGTAATTTGTCATGACAGTGTTTGCAGGGCAGAGGCATTACATAGCTGTTCTTGTCAAGAGGGACATTTGCCAAGCTGGACATAGAGGGGAGTTCATTCAGCCATTCTTGTTACAGGGGTATATTGGCAGACGGGGGCTTAGCTATTCCAGTGTCAGTGTGTGTCATGGGAAGAAGGCCCAGCAGGTTGGTCCGGGGGTGAAGACCTACTCCTGCCGTGGAAGTGTTGTGTTTTCTTGGCCATTCCTCTAAAGCAGGGGGGTCAAACTCATCAAACCCCACAAGCTGGATGAGTAGTGAAGGCCAGTCCATGGGCCAGGTGGGTGGCACGGGGCCACAGTTCCTCTCCCCGGGGTGTGTTAAGAAAGGATCTCAGGAACCCTTGTTAGAGCTGTGGACCTGATACGTTCAAATCCTGCTTCCTAAGGAGTCTGAAGAAATGTGCTGAAGCAAAGAAGGGTGAGAAGGAAAAGCTGTTGACTCTGTCGCATCCACCCCTGGCTGCAAAAGAAGACGCATTCTGGCGCGCAGTATTCAGAGCTAGCTTACTTTTAATTTAATCACAGGACTCCTACACATTGTGGCCTAGCACTAGCAGCAGTGATATGGCAATAACTGATGCTGGGGGACAGAGCACAATGGACACAGTGGGCGCATCCCACGAGCGCACACGGGCAATTTGCAGCACCACAAGTTGCACATGGCACGTGTGTGCATGGTCGCCATGCTGCTAATTTGCAGCGTGGTGGGGGGTTTTGACACCGGGAGATCCCCATGTAAAAAAAATCCCCTGCCACTAAAAAAAGCAGTTCAGCGCATGTGACAGCAGTATGCCCTGCCAGAAAGGGAGCCTTTCCAGCCTGAGTCATGCTTGGCTGCCAGCCAAGCTCCGAGCAGCCAGCTCAGCACTGGTGCTGCCCTGGGAGGCCGCCAAGACCCCAGATAAGGCTGCTGGGGCCAGTCTAGGTGCTGGCCTCTGTCTCCCCATCCCATCTGGCGTGCGCATGCAGGGGCATGCTGGGGGACAAATATGTGCCACTGGTATTTGTCCTGCGGGGAACACATGCCCCTGCATGTGCATGCTCATTGGGAAATGCCCAGTGAGTTACTTTGCATCCTTATTTCCAGTTGTACAATTTCAAATAAGGAATCTAATAAGACTTAAAATGACTCTCTATTATTTGAGTCCTGCAATTCTGGAAAATATTGTTTACTCCCGAAAGAATGATACAGCTATGTACCATGTGCTCAAACAGCGCTGTGTTACACTTGTATGGCGGTTGTACATGAAACAGACCCTTAATTTTGGATTTTCTGGTGTTCATATAAAACAGGGGTGACTTCATTTGAATGCCTGTGAAGATCAAGTGCTGTACTCGTCACTCCATTTGAAAAAGGGGCTCGCAAAACTGGAGAGAGTTCTGTGAAAGCTACCTGAAAGACCAAGAGAGGAGAAAACCTCTCATATAAAGAGAGGCCAGTAAGATCGGGATTGTTATAGCAGGTGAATCAGAAAACATTGTAAAAATATGAATAGTCCAAAGAAGATAGATCTAGAGCATCTGTTCTCATCGTGTAACACAATACCAAAGGATATCAGGACATCCCGTGAAATTAGAAAGGTGGGAAATTCAAAACGGATGGAAAGAAATACTTTGCACAACATGTGGATTGAACTACAGAACTTATTGCTACAAAACATTTAATAAGATTAATAAAGGGACCAGTTATTTATATTGGTACTATGGATATCCTGAGTTCTGATGAATTAGAACAACAGTTTTTGGAATGGATATAAATCCTCGTATCTTAGAGCTAACGCCAATATTTAGAGACCAGAACAAGACCTGCATGGAGGGCAGATTACCCCATGTATGGCTTTGTGGGGTTCTGACATCTTCCCCTGAAGTAGCTGGGACTTGTCACTACCAGGGATGGGATACAGGACTACATGGACTTCGGATCGGATCTGGTCTGACCATTCCTGTGTTGCTTTGTAACTTTTCTGTTTGACACGGTCACATGTTTTTTGGAAATCTGAGCCTGGCATTTTGAAGTTCCACCATGTGGAAGAGTTTGGGGAGATGGTAGCAGTGTGTGTGTGCACATGCATGTGTGTAGGTTTGTGTGTAAGAAGCATAATAAAGAACTGTATAAGAAATACATTACACATCTGCTGGGGATGCAGAGTGTTGGGAAGGTGTCTCACCGCAGTTCCAGAGGCGTGAGTTTGAGTGCTGCTTTGGACTTGTGTAAAAGTCTGAATGCAGTTGATTCGGTTATACGTCAATACACAATCATTCAGGCTGGAGAATCAAAGGTGTCTGGACGTGATCCTAGCCACACTGCTCCCTTGCAGCTTTAGCAAATCTGCCTTAATCATGCTAGCCTTATGAACTGGTATACTTGGGGTGATTTTTGCTATAGTCCTGCTCATTTTTATGCCATCTATTACTAATAAATGCAGACATACTGGACAGCTTAACAGCAGGCTCTGCATCAGGATCCTAGCCAGAGGTCTACAACACACAGCTGGTGTGTGTGGCCCCTGCTGTGTTAAAGGAAGTACTGTCTTGCACCCATTAGTAAGCTTTCACTAGAAGTAGCCCATCAGCACACAGACACATGAATAAGGGATTAAGGAGAGTTGCACTGGAGGATTTCTACCAAACTCAAATGTATAAATCCCTTGCTAGAAGACAGGGAACAGAACCTAAAATGCTAATGACCACAAGCATCTGCTTCTTTCCAGCCTTGTGCAAGCTAGGATGGTGATAGAGGAAAACTAAGAAATAAGGGCGGTTTAAAGAGATTTTGCTGGGATGAACATTTTTGTGGAAGTTTTGAAACACTGCCTTAGGTTAATAATATGGGCAGGATTAAAGAAAGAAAGATTCAAAGGCTGACGTGCAGGTTAATACATTTGGGCCAGATGTGTCAGATCTGTACACCTGAAATCAGACTCCTAAGTTGTTGTCAAGTAGTCTACGTAAAAGAAACCTGATTTTCACACACTCACCAGTATAACTTAATTCCGTGTCAGATCTGCCCTCTTTTGTCAGGAGCCTAACTTTATGCAGCCATCTTAAAACATTTGGGGACCTGGAAAGGAAATATCCAAAACAAATATTTAATAGGAGGGAGATGCTTGGGAAGAACAAATGCAAAAATAGACCAACAAGTGATTATGGGCAGCAAGTTAGATCCGACTTTGCAATAAGATAGGGCAACATGTCTGTGTCCAGCAGTGGCAATGTGCATGTTTAAGGTATTTTCCAGGTTGCAGGGTCATGAGCTTTGGTGTAGGACTGCATCTGCAAGCATGGATGTTCATGAGTAACTATGTCCATTGTCAATGGAACTGCTCATACATGTAAAATAAATTGTGTGTTTAAGTATTTGCAGGATCAGGACTTAACTTGTATTCTTTGTTGTTTCTGACACTATAGTACAGAGGTCCCAGTCAATTCCTGTTGTATGAAGTGACACAAGGTGCTTAAATTATGAAAGGCCTCATTAGGAAAGGCAGAAGGAGCCAGAAAAGTAAAAGGAGTTACAACGGGTCACAAAAAGAAGTTGTCAAATTCGATGAGCATCTGACTTCACTGCAAGAGTCTGTGTTTCAAGGAATGGGCAAAGATTAGGGTCAGTTCTTAATGTATCTAAATTGTTTTTCTACCCTTCGTTATAGATAAAGTACATTAACATAACATAGGGAGCAGCTGGAAGTCATTGTGAAGAAACATGTTCTGAAAATATTTACTTCAATTGCAATTGAGTTCATTTCAGATATGTTCACACCTCTCTTGCTGTCACTTTCGACAGATATTTGTGTGATCAAATTTTGGTAGCACTGATATTTGTATATAGTGAATGTTCAGCCTCGGCGCTTTAGTTTTCACAGAATGAAAATTTAAAGCTTACCTTTCAAAAGTCATATATGCTTTATTTTAAAAGTAACAAGCAGCATCTACCACAGTTTATATAAATTATAGTACATGCTGTTTATATACATACATACATACATGCATGCATGCATACCTACCTACCTATATACTTACATTCATAGCTTGCAACCCAGAGTTTTCAAGGAGTTAGCTGAGCAATGCTCTGGACAATAGACATTAGCTTAAATAACTCTTGAAAAACTAAAAATTCCTTAAGACTGAACTAATATCAATAATCTAATATTTGGATAGTGTAAATAGGATAATTGTTTTTACAGATCAAGTTATACTGGCATCAACCCTTGCAAAAATAATGGTCAGGCTGGTATGAAAGAGAAATAAAAGTAATGCCACTCACTGTGGTTTCATGGAAAATACATCTTGCAAAGGGCAAAAATCATAAAACCACAGATCTTGTGATAAAGGTTGTGTTGTGTTGACATAATATAATCTGATTATACTTTGTGTTTGATTTAGCATTATATTATATTCTGAGAAAAAAAACCTAGTACATATCACAGATGAATTAAAAAACTGCCTGATAGATCTCAAGCATGCTTGTTCATAGGGAACTGAATTATCTGTGAATGGCGTCCCTCACAAGGTAGTTCTCAGCGCTAATCAACATTTTTATCAAGCTCGATCTCTTAGTGAAGTCAAGCAATCCGTTTTTTTTCATACAGTCTGCTGTAATGTCAGAAATTTAGGGAAAAAATAGGTCATTACTCCAGGACAAGTGACTGTTCTGTGGAAAACAGTAATTTTGAAAAAGATTTATGGGTCAAAACCAAATGAACATGAACTTCCATTGCAATACTGTGTCACAGCGATTTATATGATCCTTGGACATGTTGGAGTAGTAGTGGTCGTTAGCCACTTCTCAATGACTTTATCCGGTTTCAGTGCCCACACTTTTGGAAAACAACAGAGGGTTGAGAGAAGAGCTACAAAAATGAAAAAATAAAAGCCTCAACCAATTTAGCTTAGCAGAGGTAAAACAATGATTTGAACACCACCTATGAATATCTGCATAGTGAGAAAATACCTGATGCTAGAAGGCCATTTAATGCAAATGGTTGCAATGGCTGAAACTATACAAACAAGATAGAAATTAAGACTGTAAGTAACTAGCCTTACTTAAAGAAGTGGTAAATATATGATTTTTCTGAGACTTTAAATTCTTAATGGATGTCTGTTTCTAAAAGATACTCTCTTGTTCCGCCACCATTACTGGGATTATAAGTGTTATTATTTATTTAATAGGGAATTACCTCCTGCATAAGAATTAACTTGTCTGGTTTATGTAATATATTGCATTAAATGATGAGAACAGTCCTAGATGGCTGGGTATGACTGGGCAGCCCCTGCCAGCTTGTTTCATACACATCCTCAATCACAATTGGGAACTGCCCTGAAGACTGCATTGTAGTTTAAGGTAGGGGTGTCAAACTCATCCAGGCCCTTGGGGTGGATGAGTGGTGCAGGGCTGGTCCAAAGGCCCAATGAATGGTGTGTGTTTGGCCCACTGGCTGGATTGGACCCATAGACCTGTTGTGTGTCCACCCACCACCCTTCTCCCCCGCTCCCGCCCCAGCGCATGCCAGATCCAGCACATCTGGTCCTTGCTCTGGCCAGTCCAGGACACACACTGGCCGGTGGGGGCCATGTGTGATGTGAGTCCCAGGCCTGCCAGGGCAGGTGCAATGTGCAGGGCATGACCTGGGCCCTGTACTCATCATGTGTAGCGTGTGGGCCAACTCAGGACCTAGGGGCAGCACTGGGAGCCAGATGATGGGGCTCTGTGGACTGGATCCAGTATCTTTGACCCCCCCTGGTTTAAAGTAGAGGATAATCAAAAAGAGAGGAGAGTCGTCCAATGTTCTGCCTATCACCTGAAATGACAATGCTCTCTCTTTACTGAGGAAAGCTGCTGAGTTTGGTTGCACACGTGGTTGCTCTGTAGATCCTCAGAACTTCGGCCATCTCGCTAGTGGAAGTGAGCAGCAGGCCGCCTTTCTTCCTCCTCTCCTTACAGGCTGGCTGGGCTCCTTTCACAGGAGTGGGCAGGGGCAGAATATTTCTTCTATCCTTCTCCCACATCAAAACCAGACTGACTGAACAGAAGTAACGCTCTCCTGTGGCCAGCCAGTTTCTAGTTTTGTACGTCCCCACCTCTCCTGGCTGCAGAGCACAAAAGACTGAAGTCTAACAGGATTATAATAAATGCTGACGTCTCCTTGGCAAACTCGTGTCTATAATTTATTATAACTGGAGGTAGCAAAGGTAAATGGGCTAATTATCCAGAATACACAGGGGGTTAGTTGCATACAATTTGAGCAGGTTTTAGTTAATTGGCAGAAGGAAATTATTTAGTCCCTTCGGTCCTCTCCTTCTGCCTTTCTGTGCACAAGTCCTCATTTACAGGGCCAGCAAGTTTGTCTTCCAGAAAAGTGGAGGCCTGGGACTGTTCAAATCCTACATTACAGGGCAGGGAAGCATTTGGATGGGCATCCACTCATTGCACTTTTCTCTGCTCCTGCTCCTTGTGGTACCCACTTCCCTTGCTTCACCCACGTACTTGGCCTCTCCCTCCCCATTCACCCTCCACCTTTTGCGTGCGTTATGGGCCTTACCGGTGCTCTTACTTACATCATCTTTGCAGACGTGCACTTTCATACCAGTACAGATATAAGTAGCAGAATCGGATGGATCAATCCTTATTGCCGTGGAAGCTGGGAAGAGCATTTCAGTGGATCACTGAATTCTCCCTCTTTGCTGTGATGCCTTTTGCTTATTTGTCACAGGACATTTGGACAGGAATATCTGTCATGCAGCAAAATGTGTAACATGACAAGAACATGGAAGCATAGACAAGTCCATCTTAAACTTTTTGGGGATCTGGCTCTTACATGGCCATATCTTGACTGTGGAGTCTGTACGAGCTATGAAGGTGTCCTAGAAACCAATCATAGACCATAAGGTTTGTGTAAAAGCTTTAAAATACTTTGGAAGCAATTAATTTCCACACTGCTGCTGTTTAAAATGACTTTTATTTATAAAATAGCCTTATTTCATTTACATATAGTACAGAAAGTCTGCCAGAGGCTGCTTCAGGGGCAATGGGGCATGGCTGGACATTTGATTCTATGAATCAATGATCTTCATTCTCTGCTCCCTGAGCCCCCCTCGTATGTTCTGAATCCGCAGTCCCCAAAGTTTCTAATTCTTACATTTACACTTCTCGATAGCAAACACAGTGCGGATGGGGCCGCTGCGGCTCTTGAATGTGTGAGTGTTGTACTGATCAGGCACACAGCGACTGGAGGTGCCTTCAGCCCAAACCAGGCACTTCTCTCCACTATGTGAATCCCTGCAGTTGAAAAAACAAAAATGTTAACTACCCAGAGAGGCAAAAGGTGAACCACTCTCATCTGCCTTGGGTTTATAGTTCCTATCCTGTTCATACAACAAAGCTGAATTGATACATGATCTAGTCTCTACAATATAATTTGGTTCACAGCCCATGGTTAATTTATTATTACATTGGTAATATCTAATAGCAATACCCCGCTGTCATGGAGGGCTTTCCAGCAGTATATTTCAAAGCACTTTACAAAGAAAGTATTATTTTACCTTTATTACCAATGTGGAAGCAGAGGAATAGGAAGGCAAAGTGATTTGCCTCAAATCATCCAAGAGGCAGGAAGAGAAGGTAGATCATCTAGGCTCCAGGCCAGTGCTCTGCTCACTAGACCCCACACACTGTCCCTCTGCCCAAGTGCCTAATCACAGACCAGGATCCTAGCGGGCTAGGCCTGGACAAAAAGATGGTCTTTGTTCCAAACAGTTCATAGTTTTATGTATGTAAATGAACAGTATAAAGATGACGACTGAATCCAGAATTGGGAAGGATGTCCTTGGAGTATCTGAAAACCTACGTTCTGTTCTCTGCTTTATCGCAGATTCCCTCTGTGACCATTGGTAAGCCACTTAATTTATAAAATGGGGACTATTCGTTTATTTATTATTATATCTTATACCTACCAAAATTCTCCAGGCTCAGCGCAAAGCTAAAATACAAACCACAACCTTATTGTCAACAGGCAATAAGAGACTCAAGCCCTTCCCAGCTCCAAACTAGTTCTGACCACCCTAAGCTTTAAAAACAAGCTCTGACAAAACAGTCTTATCCCCTGCCCATCTCCTCCAATTATCTTGAAAACATCTAAAAGAAGCAAGAGAGATTGTAATATATGGAGAAGATGCCCAAATCCAGGCAGTGGCCAACTAAAGAAGAACATGAATTTGAAAGTCAAAGATCATCTTCAGTAAAACTTTGCTGCCAGCCCACTACCATTCAAATCAGGTGTGAATTTGGAGCCCTACAAAGGACCATGTATGGAGTAGGGTAGAAGGCAGAGAAAAATGCAACAAGCATGGCACATCCCCATTTCTTGCCCTACTTGGGCAGAGAGGACTATTTGAATTTGGGCCACATAGTAGGTCCATCTTCCTGTAATTGCTGTTAGGATCTTCAGTAAAATTCTCATTCATTTTGGCGTCTAATTCATGTGGTTTATTGGCTATCTAATGGTATAAAAACCTCTTAGCCATAGGCAAGTTACAGTGTTACAAGTTACAATGGACCATAAGCTAAGCTTGAGGCAGTAGTATGCTCTTCTTGCTAAAAAAAAGCCAAGAGCTTTTAATACTGGGTTGTATTAACAGGAGTGCAAATCAAGGGAAGTGATTCTTTCACAGTATTCAGCACTGGTGAGGCCTCACCTGGAGTACTGTGCCTGGTTTTGGACCCCCCAACTTCAAGAAGGATGTGATCAGATTGCAAAGAGTCCATGGGAGAGCAACAAAAATAATTAGAGGCCAGGAAACATGACTTATGAGGAAAGGCTGAAAGAACTAGAACTGTTTAGTCTGGAGAAGAGAAGATTGAAGGGGGATCTGATAACAGGCTTCAAATACCCGAAGGTCGATTGTAAAGAGGATGGAGATAGACTTTTCTTGGTGGCTGTAGGGAACCAGACTGGGAGCAACAGCTTCAAACTGCAGCAGAGGCAATTTTGGTTGGAGATTAGGAAGAACTTCCTAGGAGGATAGTCAAGCATGGGAACAGGCTACCTACAGAAGCTGTGAAATCTCCATCTCCGGAAATTTTCAAGAACCGGTTGAACAGACACTGAAGTGTGGGATGATTTTAGTAAGGGATGATCCTCTGCTGAACAGGAGGCTGGCCTAGGTGACCTCATGAGGTCCCTTCCAGTCCTCATTTCCTATCATCTTAAATTCTCCAAGTTTTTATTCTGCAGCCACTTCTGCAACACAAGTTTCCCAGCCATAAAGCTCACAGTCCAACTCCTACCACAATCTTCAAAGTCTGCACTTGTTTTTGCTGTAATCACATCACTAGTTTGATATTACAAGAAACTTTGTCATGAGATGTGAATTAGTAAAAGAAAAGAGAACTCAACATGAAATATATTGACCTGTTACGCTACCAATTCAGCCAGTGGAAGCACAATGAATAAAGTTATATTCATTGGAAGGTAAATGACAATGACAAAGAGCCCTTGGAGACAGCTTGTACACTGGATTCACATTCATGCAACTGCACTCAGGATAAGGAAGCTACATGGATGTAAACCTGGGCAAAATTTGTTTCAGCCTCTGGAACATCTGCATTCTCCAGGGGTTTCACATGGAAGGGGGAGGAAGATGTGTCCTAACAGCTGTGCTTACCTAAGCAAGCAGCGATTCCCTATGGAGCAGCTCCCCAAGCACCGTCCCACATCAATTTCCTGGAAAGATTTGCAAAACAAAGACAGGAAAATCACTTGTGACATCCTATTGATACACACCCAAAGGGGAACAGCATTCCAGCAAGCCCTCCTTTTGAGCAGTGCTGCTTCCTGTTGTTGTGTATACATAAGGGCTCATTTTAACCTGTTTTCAGATAATGAATAAACTAAGAAACATTCCACTGATTTTTCCTCCCAGAAAAGGAAACTTTTTGCCTTGTACAAGTCTAATTACTTCAGTTGGGCATGTGACTTTGCGACAATTTTTTTTTGTTCTGTGCAACCCGTACTGAGTGGCCGCGTCTACATGAGCGGCGGACTGCACAGTTGTTACTGCACATTTAGTACTTACATAACCAAGTCCTAAATGACTGCACAGTAACCAGTGTTACTGCACAGTAACGCCCCCGCATGGTTTTTTTCTGACACTACTGTGCAGTAGCATCTTGCGTAGACACGGCCTGGTGTAGTTATACTAATATAAAGTTGCTTATAACCGTACTGGTTACTCACCCTTACTATAAAGAAATAGCCTTTCTACCAATATAGCAGCATTCACACAGGAGCAGGTGTACTATTTTAACTATAATGGTATAATTTAAACAATACAACTCTTGATTTTAGACAAGCCCCAGGACTCCTAAAGCTGCATGCACTGGACTCACCTTAAGCCGCTCCTCTCTGTCTCCCGCTGAGTTGTATATAATTTCATAATAGTATTCCACGTAGGAAATTCGATAGCAGGGTTCTTTCATTTCACAGTTCTCCAGAGTTTGAACCACCTCAGCACCATTTGGGCTTTTGATCAAAACAGAGTCAAACTTTGTGGGGGCACAGAAGAGTCCATCTGGAAGAGAAAGGGAGTGAAGTTTCATTTGGCTCCTGTTCCAGTGGTCATTGCACATGCAGCATTCCCGCTGGGTATCCTCACTAGGATGTCTATGTACAGAGCAGCTGCATGATCAGGTTTATAACACACAACATGAGTTATGAAAAGTGCTCGCTTGCTATTCCAGGAGCTCTTCCCCCTGCTTGCAGCCTTGGACACATTTCTTTATGCCAACTCAGAACTACTCTTCTGGGTTTTATTGTTTCTCTCAGAAATTTCATGGCACGGGCAAGGTTATTTGGCTAGATGAAGAAATTATGGAATTGGAAATTACCCAATGGATATACTTATGAATTATGAAATTGGAAATTACCCAATGGATATACTTTGATTCCTAAAGGAATGAATCCCAAAGTCCATTTTCTAATGTTAGAAGGGGTTATGTCTGAGGAAGAATAGCAAGCCTTAGACCCAATGTGTAGCTAAAAATAATAATTAAAAAACCCTCTTGGAAAGTAATAGATTTATGGCAGAATTACCAACAAATCTACAGAGGCATAAAGTTTGCATTTACATAGCTTGTTTCATACTGCAGGAAGCCAAAGCTTTTTCCAAAGAAAAAGGATTTTGCATTTTTGGGGAACCGTGTAGTGCTGTGTTACGCTCCATTTCTCAGCATCTCCTCTTAGATTTGATTAGCTCAAGCCCATGTTCCCCATGTTGAATTGGGCAGCCCCACCTTACTGTGATGCTTTCAATTTAGGTCTCGGTGGTTATTTCATTGACAATGTCTTGCCTTTCCATAATGCTGTAACGTTACTTCCAAAGGCAGCCACCACTACGGTGCTCCCCCACCAAGCAAGACCAGCCCGATGGTAGCCTAGAGGGCTATGCTATGTGAAGCAGCTTTGCAGATCCTCTGGCAGTACTAAGTGGAGGAACCGCTTTCCTATAGGCAGGTGTAAAAGCAACAGTGATGCAGTTTGCAGATAATGCTAGCACAAGATGGGGAGCAAAAAACCTGGTCAAAACCTGCAACATTTAGGAGGCTGACACAACAAAGGGAAATTCAGCACTCCTAACAGGAAGTCTGCCAGGGATGTTGGCATGCCACACGATCTGAAATGGTAGTGAAGTGCCACTATGAATAGCCAGGTGAGTTTTAACAAAGGGATTTGTTCTTTCTTGTAAGGTGTTACATGAATTACAATGTTCCATAAGGTCTGTTTTATCTCTTCCTCTCCCACCTCCTGCTGATAACAGGAGTATATTGAAGCAGACGCTGGCTCAACATAGACACCTACTCTTGCATCCTTCCTGGGACTGGAGAAAAGCAGACCACATCCACGTATACCTCCTGGTGATTCCTTACTCCTAGACAATCAGACTCCCATCCACGCACCATCCAGGTTTCTTTATAACACGTGACTGCCCCCTTGGTAATGAACACCCAGCCATCATACATCCTCGGTGTGAGATTTCTGGTCCCGCTCCATCTCATGCAGGCTTCCCAACTGCCGTCAATAAACACATCCACTGAGCCATCCGCTCCTGTCCTGTCTAAGATATTCTTCCTTATTAATTCCTCCTCTCAAGATTATTTTTTAGCTTAGTTCCCCTGTGAAGAAGAAGAACAGAAGTGTCCCCACTCTTTTACGCAGTTGTTAGGCTGCGGCTTTTTCCCCTGGGGAAGGAGAGGCTTGGAGAGACTTGTCACAGCTCTCTGTCTACCTGAGAGCAAAAAGTTGGCATCTTGTAGCAGTCCCTCACCTCAGAGAAACTGGGGGGGTTTATTTCTGTTAGTGGCATTCATTTCATCTCAAAGGGCACATCCCTCTCATCATGCTGTGCAAAACAGAGGCCTGAAGACAGGGGAAGGTCTGAGAAGGCAAAAGCCACAGTTCAAACCAGCTCCACCTTTTTTACTTCTCTCTAGCAGCCACGCTTCATTTATTCAGTGCAGAATCCCCACCGAGTCTGCATTTAATTATGCCAGTGGCAATTTTACTGTCGCCAGAGGTGACTCAAATATTGACACTGCACCTGCTGTATCTAAGGGGAGTGTAAATGGGGTATAATAAATGGGGTTTCTTACCAGGACTGTGGTAAGAAACCCCTGTGACTTTTTGAGCCGGCAAACCCCCACCCTCTCTGCAAACATGCAACCCTGTTGAAATTAATTGAAATATGGCATCTGAAGCAACTAAATACTAAAGTATCCATCAGCTGATCCTCTTTCCTCTCTTTTTTTTTCATGTGAGACCCAAAGACTAGAGTTTTTCCAACCGTCTACCTTTCTTTTCTTTTCTGCACGCTACAATCATATGAAATGACCTTAACCAACAAGATTAATCTATATATTGTCCTAGCAAATTACAACTTTTTAAATACACAACACTATGTCTCCCTCAATGTGTTGGCTGAATATAAGGACAGGCACCTTAGTGTCCTGGCTCCTATCCACACCCCTGCTTGTCACTTGGTCCCCCCGTCCCTTAAGGATTAAGCGTCTCTTTTACACATGAAGGAAAAGAGAGCAGGTAGCCGAATGGCTTGCTTGTGATCATATATCAGATAATCATGAGATGCAGGAGTCAAAAATTCTATTTTTGGCTTGCAAGATGAGGCCTAATTTTCATCTTCATAGTTTTTTAAGCAAGTCATTCAGACTGTGTTTCCCAAGCTGTGAAATGGGTGTAAGAATTCACTGCAATTTCAAAAGTGAGTATCTCAGATCAGCTGAAAAATAAAAAGGAAAGGTGTCCTAGACCTCTTCTCAAAAATGACCTACAATTGTAGGTGCTTAACACCAGATTCATGGAAAGGGCTGGGTTTTCTGAGGATGGGCATTCAGCACTTTCTAAAAAATTAATCCCATTGACTCTCTCAAATTGGCACTTAAAATCACTGGTCACTTCTGAGAAAATAGAAGACAGAATAGGTGAGATTTGCAAGTCCACATCTGGTATCCCCTGAGCTAAGCTGTGCCATGCAACTGTCCGATTTGCAGGAAAAACGCTTCCATTCTGATTTAGTCCCACAACATTTAGTTTTTCTTTAGCCACGTCCTGCTGCCAGACAACAAACACGCTGGACTGCTGCAGGAATCCAAAATCCACACCCCGCTGTACAAACATTCACAATAGCACCCGATTTGTTTCTTTTCATCCTGGCCATTAGCACTAATTTCTGTGCTCCTGGTGCATGCATAATCTACCTTAGCAGAGTGGTTCTGTCGCCCTCTTTAGTTTTTGGTGCATAATGGAAATTTATGGACCAGCAGAAGCGGTCAAAAATTCTCTGGTGGAACATTTGTTGGGAAATGCTGATTTTCAAATTATTTCAATGGGAAATGAATATACTGGCTCATTTCAGTAAGGATCAAACGATTCCTTTTGATAAAGTTGAAACATTTCATTTCAACATTGTCTTTTTGACTTTGATGTTGTAATATCAGACTGCAAAATAATCGCGACATAACCAAAAAAGTGCAAATGCTGAATATTAAACCATTTCAACCTTATTAAAATGAAAGGTTTTGATAAGGTTCTTTAGTTGTTTATGAAAAGAAACCCCAGTACTTTTTCCTGCCATGGCAGGGGGTCGGACTTGATGATCTGCTCAGGTCCCTTCCGACCCTACCAACTATGAAACTATGAAAATATTTTGTAATTTTTATTTCATTGTAAACTTGGACATTTCTACTTTTCACTCAGATTCAGTCTGGCAGGAAGTATTGAAATGTCACTATTCCTGCAGAATGGAAACTCTGCTTCCCAAACGACCCCATTCGTGAGCATATTACTGCTTGCTATTACACGAGTGGCTTGTTTAGGTCCAGCAACAGAAGGTCATGCTTTTACCACTGAAAATCCCCCTTTTAATGTCCCTTCACATGGAATGAGAGGTAAACTGCACCCTTTTAACTTCAAAGAGCTGTGTAAACTGAATGGGGGCAAAGTGGACTTCAATAGTAACTCTTTCACTGCTGATTAGTCTAGCAGGATCATACGTCTACTGTACTGTGCTTATCCCCTGGACTCAGAATAACTCCAATCTGTTGTCAAACACCAAAAGCCCCATCTGGTATAGGCTTTATTTTCAAAGTCTCATACAAGCAGAACATGATCTTCACGCTATCCTGCACAGGTAGGAAAGATGGGAGCAGAGATGCAAACAGGTGCAGGCAGTTACATAGTGAATTGGATGTCACCCGAGCCAGCAGGAGAAATGGAGCTAGAACCCACATGTCCTTGGATTCAGTCTCCATACTTCATCCATCCAACCACGCTTAGCACAATGTGTCTGTAGCATTATAATTTCAGACAATATGAAAAACAATATGAAAAACAATCTTCTTTAATCAAGAGTCAAACATTAAGTTCCTGGGTCACCCGTGGCATTTGAGATGCTTATCATAACCCAGGGGGATCCTCCTCAGCCCATCTACTCCCGCTGCCCCACAAGACGAGCATCCCCACCATTTCCATACCTTCTACGTGGGAAGGGTTGGAGCATTTTCCAACATCCACAGTGAACTCCAAGGGGGAGTCTGGAAAGAAGGTTTTCAGGGCTGGCAGCCGAAGACACTCCTTTGGGCTTGTGTTACACTGACAGGTCTCAATCACTTCCACTTCCCGGAACCCTTCGAACAGCAGCAGTCTCTCCACATGAACCCTAGTAGGTTCACAAAGGGAATCCAAAGGGCAGGAACGGTCTGCTCCACTCAACAGAGACGACTCGATCTGTCTATCCTGCAACTGCACAGACCAGTTACAAGGAAACAGAGAAATTCCCCCTTGAAATCAGGTCACTGGAGAACCTGGCTCCATTCAAAACTCATCTTCCATTCTGGAACTAGCTTGGACCAATACAGTACTTTCTTCACCTAGCTGCTCTGGCGCTTTTGGCCTTTTAAAATTACATTTATAATACAACTATTTATTCCAACTAATTCTCTAGCAACCAGTTGATAAACCATCCTAAACATATCTTTGGAAAGACAAAAACCTCCTTCTAGGTGTATGGTAGGACTATGGTGAATGGTAGAACAGGTGGTTGATGGTGACGCCCCATAAGCCTCCCTCACAAAGAGTGTGGCAGGGCTCTGGCAAGGCTCTCTTGCTCCTCCCATGGGCCACGAAAAGAAGTGATAGCACTCGCTTCGTAATGAATGTTAACACTGGTCTACCTGAACTAGATAGGCATCTAGCTGGGGTCATCTAGACCCAGCCCTCTTTCCTGCCTATGCAGGGGGTCGGACTCGATGATCTATTGAGGTCCCTTCCGACCCTAGCATCTATGAATCTATGAAAAACTTCTGGTACCGGGAGGACTCCACAGGTTATATGGGTAATGGCCAACTGCTAAGCTGTTACAAGTGTAGTAGCTGCTGCATTACACTGTTACACAGATATCAGGGTACCTTATCTAAGCACATTTCCTTTCTCATACAGAAACAGCTATGCTAGGATAAAACACATTTATACCAGTAAAGCAGCATCTTTCCCAGTGGGGAGGATATTCATATAATTAAATCAATAAAACTTGTGTGTAGAGAGGTCCTCAGAGGTACCACCTCTCTCTAGCTTGTTAATAAAGGACTCTCTTTCTTAGCTGAAGTGTCAAAGGCTATTTTTCACAAATGGGTTTAGAGTATCTGTATCAAAGATCCCATGATAGGACAGCAGTATGCTCCAAAAAATAAACTGGCTCTCTGGCCACTAGTTTTGCTCAGACAGGCAGGAATACGTACTGGGCCTCTTCCCTTCTCCACGAAGTAGTAAGAGAAAATTAAATCTCATTAATGAAAACCTAGTGCAGCGCCAGCATGGCCTAAAGTGCCATCATCAGCACTGGGCTGCAGAAGGGTATTTTAAATGATCTCAGACATCATCACACAGCAGTGGTTTTCAATCTCTTTTCATTTGCAGACCCCTAAAAAAATTCAAATGGAGGTGTGGACCCCTTTGAATTGTATGTCTGGGTACTCTCATACTTTTGATTGATCATAATCATCTTTCATGGACCCTTTAAACCTAGTCTGTGGGCCCCCCAGGATCCGTAGACCACAGGTTAAGAACCACTGTCATACAGCATCCAGTAAAGATATTATAAAATGTGAGTAACACCTCTGTACACTGACTGGGTTTTTTTCCCCAGGTGCTTTTTGACAGCCAGGGAGACTCTCCTTTCTTATAACCCAACTATTGCTCTTGTTGGTAGGCTGTGGCAGGACAGTATGCTACAAGAGATGCTTATTATACTTCAGGATCAAACAACTTCAATGAGTTCATGCATGTCTTTAGGATGCACATTTCTCACCTTCTTATTTCTAAGGAAGTCCAACATGGAGGAATGTTTGGAGAGGCCTCGAAGTCCAGGTTGATACGAGTTTATCCTTTGGGATATGCAATGGGACCTGCACATCCCAACATCCACACTTACAGGACTTCCAGAGATGTCTGAAACACAAGAAAGATGAAATGAGACTCCTTACAGAACGTAGAATATTATTATTAGTTATTTGCATTGGGAGAGGGCCTAGGAGCTCCGGAGAGGATTGCTTCATTGCTTTCTAAGAAAAGCCAAATGCACAGAAGAGCAGCCACTGGCTGGCTGTCCCCTTTCCCCGCGTTGTGGAGAGACATGTATGTCTGCCTATGGTCTAAGTGAACTCTTTTAATCACAAGGAGACAGGAACAGTCAAGCCAGCTTTCACACCACCAGGGGGAGTGTCAGCCAGACAGGCCAAGTATTTCTAGTCGGCAGAAAGCCGATGATTATCAGTTTCCCAGAAATATTCCTGAAAATTGGTCATTACTCTCCAAAACCCTTATCTATATTCTAAGGGCTTGTCAACACTAGTTCTTAGTCCAAACAGCCACTTTCTTCCTCAATGAGAACATCTATACAGTGGTTTAATTATGCTATAAAAAATCAAATATTGGCTTCACATCTTCAATTAACTTGTTTTAATTTGCCTTCGTTTTCCTGTGTGGACATGGCATTCATTGCACCAATTTCATTTAAAATTGGATGCAAAGTAGAGTAAGTATCCATTTGCTGAATTAGTGCCGTTAGTGCAAAGCAGTTGTCTCACTCTTCAAGTTCATACTCTTACTTCACAGCAACTTCCCCATAGACAAGACATCAGGTGTTTCCATAGTCACATGGTGGGCATGTCTACATGAGATGCTACTGTGTGTAGTGGTTACTGCACATTTATTTAGTACTTGAGTGTAATCAAGTACCATATAAATGCGCAGTAATTGGAGTGACTGTGCAGTAGCTCCAGTGAACACCTTTTAAGTGACACTGCCGTGCAGTAGCTTAATAATACTGTGCAGTAGTGTATTAGTACTGTTGGTGCTGTGACGTGCTACTGCACAGTATTATTCGGCTACTAAGCAGTTAGCATCTTGTGTAGACATGCCCAGCATGTGGCATAAGGACTACAGGCACTCCTCGACTTGCATCGTTTTGAGTTACAACATTTCGCACTTACAACTTTATGAATTGATACCCCATTTCAACTTTACAATGCCAGTTTCGACTCACAACGTTTGATCCGATGCAATGCCATGCCAGCGAACGAGTTCGCTGCATCGCTTAACTCCCTGGAGAACATCTGTCCAAACTTCCTTGGACACTTTGTTTAAGAAAGCAGACAAGACTCCAGAAAAACATACAGCCAAGACTCCTGAAAAGACTCCAGCCAAGAGCCCTTCAAAAAGTCCAATCGAGAGCCTTTCAAAAAGTCCAGCAAAGTCACCTCAAAGAAGTCCTTCCAAATCAATACGATTGCTTTTTACAATATAAATACATTAATGTAGCTATATTACTCATCTATAATTGATCGGGTACAAAATTCTGGGCTATTTTTGGAGAAAATACGGTATTGAGCCTTGGTTCAGGAACCAATCCCCCATTTATAACATTGTTTCTTATGAGAAAATTGGTTCTGAGTCACAACATTTCGACTTAAGACGTGGTTTTTCAGGAATCAATTGTGTCGTAAGTCCGAGGACTGCCTGTATAACAGTACTGTGCTCAGCAGAGTTAAAGGAACATCTCCAGACCCATCCAGATAGAGGTGCAACAAGAAATAATTTTGTTTTTAGGCTATGTCCACACAAGTGTGGACATTTTTTTCCCTGGGGGCAACTAGCGGTGGCTATTTGGGGGTCAAAGAAACAACAACCTGACAGCGTGGAAAATAGCAACGCCACGTACCGCATAGCCTCGCTCGTCTGTATGCGGCCATAAACTTTACCTAAGACAGGAGAGATTTCTTTGCACTGTAAAAATGTGGAGTGGGGCTGCAAATTGTCCTCTCTGCTATTCATTTTTTCTCCATTCTCTCTAGTACTGAGGTGCATGCCATACAGAGTAAGTTATTTACCCAAAGTTATTTGCCCAAAGTCACATTATGGCAAAGATGAGATTCTCAAGGGTTTTATCCATGAAGACAAATCACTACATAATGCTAACTTATAGTGAATTTTATAGTCAAGGCTCATTTATGAAGTCCTTTACCACTGTACTGTGATAACTGCAGAATGAAACAAAACTATCTGTTATTTTCAAAAGTTACAGCCATTTTTCAGCACCAAAAGGTTAGAAAGACTTCCTCATCCGTGTGCACAGCAAAATAAATTTGCCTTATCTCACTGCCACTTCCAAATTAAAATCTTAGAGCTGAGGCAATGTGGACCATCGTATCCATGAAATAATGCGTATTCAACAGAAGGAAAACAATTTCCTGGAAACAAAGTTCAATATATTAGTTTAAAAAATTGAAGACTATTTAATTCAAATACACTGTACTGTCTAATTAACCAGTTTTCCCACTAGAATCATAGAAAATTAGAGTTGGAAGGGACTTCAGGAGGTCGCATCTAGTCCAACCCTCTGCTCAGAGCAAGACCAGCCCCAATTAGATCATCCCAGCCAAAGCTTTGTGTACACAGGTCTTAAAAACCTTGAATCTTGAAAACCACACTAGTTAGCATGTTGTTAAAGGTACCCTTGGTATTCATCAAATTGAGGATATTGTTGCAATACTGCTTGCCAACGGCAAATTAGGCAGAGAGCCTGCTGAGGCTCTGTCACATTTATTTGACTTTTGTCTTTAACTGCTTGGGGGATAAAAAGACTATGATGTCTTGTGAGCCTTAAGAAAATGCCCAGAGGGGCATCAGTGATGCAAAGTAAGTGAAAAAAATTGAAAGAATCAAACTTCTTAGAAGATATTCACTTACCATGTCCAATGTAGAGGTAATGGCTCTGCCTCCTACAGCAACCTCTGTCTGCAAACAAGTTCCTTTGCTCACTCTGTCTGCTGACGGCTCCTGCACCTGCAGCCACAACATGCGAAATTCAGGATAGCCCCACTTTAAAACTCAGCCTGCTTTCTTGCTTTCTTTCTTGCCAGGAGGGGACTAAAGGCTTGTCTACACCGAGCAGTTACTGCTATGTATGCTAGGTGAATTTAAAAGGGGCTTACTGTGTACTGAGAACATTCACACAGAGGGTTAGCATGGACCAGCAAGTGCACTGTAAATTCCCATTCCAACTTCCAGCACAGTGGCTTCCTCATATAAACCAGCCCAAAGTTATTTGCTGGTTGAGTTATTCTTAGCTATTGAGCTAAGAATCAGCTCAGTGCTCTATAGAAGATGGAGCAGCCAAGTAGAAGACATCATCGCCCAATAAAGGATACATCAGATATCAGCTATAGCAACCAATCGTGTTAATTCACCAGTACCAGTACTTTGTTTCCAAAGATCAGAACCAAAGGTGCTAAAAACCAGAGGATAAGAAGAGAAATGGAACTTACTGACAAAGCTGGGAGCGCAGAAGAGGCCAATCACAAGCATTGTAGTTGGGGCAAGAAGCGACATAGCTGCACCCTTGAAGATACTGAATTGTCTCCAGTATTGCTGTCTCAGCTATTTATACCTTGAGCACGCACGAAGGTGCTCGCCTCTGAATCAAATGGATTTCTCTAGTGTTGACAAATGTTCCCAAGACGGTGATCTAAAGAAACACCAAAGTGACCCATGTCCTAGTGGAATCTCATTAACTGCTTGTCTAGGGGAGCTGGTTCCAGCCAAACTTCAAAGCCTTTCTTTGAAATGACAGGCTTTTTTCCTCAGGCTGGGGGATTTCTCCCTAGGGAGTCTTTGTTCTCACCACCACTTTTAACTTTATTAAACTCTGGGTAGCTTGGAGTTACCTTTAAGTTGCCTAATTTGAAAGGGCCTCTCAAGTTCTTGCCTTATCCACTGCAATCAATGGCCTTTTATCTAGAGATAATCTTCTTTTGCCACTTTTCAACACCAGACTTCACACTAAAACTAGTCTTTGATATAGAAATGGAAGTGCAGATCTCAGATACCCAGGCCTTCCTTTCAGCCTCTTTTTCCTTTGACCAAAAACCTTGAACTAGAAAGAGCTTGCTTTCTTTCCTGATCAATTAAAAATGAGTAATTAATTCCTGAGCCATGGAGAAGACCCTTGGCTTCTTGGGGTTGCAACATAACTCCCTAGAATGAGCCCTTACGCCTTGTCCAGTCTACAAAAAAGGGATTTCTTCATTTAAGTTTAGCTAATTCAACTGAACTAACTTGACTGCAAAAAGCACTTTTCTTCCTAATTGCAAGAAAGCCACATGTGCAGGTGGCAGAGGCTCACGCTGTTACACAAGGGCTATAGGAACAGGGTGGAGAGCATGCAGAGCTGGAAAAGGTCAGGATTGACTGGCATGAAGGCAGGGCAGGGTGGCACCTTATGGCCTTGGTGCACGTTCATTTTATGCTGTCCCAGATGCATTTGTGACACTTCAGAGTGTGAGCAGATGCGCACTCAAGACATCACTCTCCTTCAGCATCCCAGGATGCACCACTTCCTGCTTTCTCTCCTGCTCTAAGGCCAATCTCTCGTTCAGTTTGAGCTCTACTCTTAAGAAGGCAGCAAATGATATGAAAACCCTGGCACAAAGGCATCCCCGGAAACTCCCCAGAGAAACTGGTGTGGTGCCCAAGGGACGCAGTTTGATGACAGGGAACAGGGATGGGATGAGGTTGGGAGGGAGGGATTGACTTTCCATTCCCAGCTTGGAGGCAATAATTAACTGTCATTCGAACAGGCTGTGAACTGGCCCATTGGTCCTTCTTACATTTTACACAGGCTAAGATTTTACCAGGGCATCCAGGGAAGGAGTGGAAGGGCCTGTGCACATCTGCTTCCCCTTTCCCCCCATGCCTCAGTTTCCCCCACAAGCTCACCAGCCCCCATCCCCAACCTTAGCTTCCCAGCTAGCTGGGGCAGGCTGGGAGTGACGTCAGTCAGGCAAGCAATTGGTGCTTTCCTCGGGGCAGGTCTCAGGAATCCCAGCAGCAAGACTGGCTTCAACAGGGTTAGGCAACCCCTGGCACAAGTGCCAGAGCATGGCACGCGAAGACATTTTGCTTGGCACGCATGCCTTGAGGAAGAGGCCGAGGCTGTGCTGTCACAACAAGGATCGGGTCACAGCTGCCCTGCCATCTGCCCCTGGCACGCCAACATCTTACAAGTTGAGGTTGTGGAGGGTTTTGGCACTGCCCAAAAACGTTGCCATCCTGGGGGGCCAAAATATCTGCTCAACATCCCCCCAGTGGTGGAGCACAAGCAGTGCAAGCTCACACTCAAACATGAATGTGCCCTGCTCCTGTTACATCCCAATGTGCCATGGATTTGGAATGGCACAAACTGAGCACGTACCAAGGCCCTTGGAGACTAACTTATTCAGAGAGGCATAAGCTTTCACAGGGAGCAGCCTGCTTTGTCAGATGCTACGGATGGACTTGCAGAGAGTAGGGGTACTAAATAGAAAGTAAGAAAGCAATTTAAATATTTTGTGAGCAAATTACTCTCTAAGGTGCCACCCTTCCTTGCCGTTGGCCTAACTTCAGAATGACACGGCTAACTGCCTCTCTCAATAGACTAGAACAAGAAACATTAACATAGTGGCATCCGCTGCACAAGCTGTTGAGTGAGCGATCACAGTACAGGGGCAATGAGCGGAGACGGCAGATCAGTAGTGTAACAAGGGATGCTTGCGTGGGGCACAAATGCGGAGTGCTGCCTAAGTGGGGGAGGGTGCCTTGCCTTGCCATCCCTTGCACCCTCCCATAAAGCCTGCACCTTCCCTGCAGCAGCTTCAGCTTTGGCAATGGAGAGGGTAGAGCAACAGCAGCAGCGCACAGTACCCTGGGCAGAGGTGGCACATGGTGCAGGAGCAGTAGCAAAAGGCTCACTGCTGCAGGGGAAGATGTCACCTTTTTTTGCATTAGTGTTTAAATGGCCACTCAACACACGCTGGCAGCAGAAAAAGGAGGTAACATCTCCCCCTACAGCAGCAAACCTCTGGCCACTGCTCCTACGCCACGCACTGCCACCACCCAGGAAGCAGAACCGACTACAGTACTCACATCTCTGAGAGAGCTGTGAGCGCAGAGAAGGAAGAAGGGCTGGGGGCACAGAACTGAAAGTGCATAGCACAGGGCACAGAGTAGCGAGCAAGGAGAAAATGCATTGAAAAAGGGGGGCTGATACTGCAACTGGAAAAGACCAGTTGGTTCAGGGAGGCATGAGCTTTCATGGGCATGCATTCTTCGCATCTGATGAAGCACGCTTGCCTCCTCGGACAGCTTAGGGCTCTATGAATTACCTAGCCTCTAAGGTGCCACCCTGCCCTTCCTACTGCTTGACTTCAGACTAACACAGCTAATCCACGTAGTGGGTCAGATGTAGGTTGAGCAAGGCCTTATGGAAAGGTGCTGGGATGAAGGTTCCCTTGTTAGCAAGATGGTTATAAGGAGATCCTGATGTCTGCTTTGTCTGCTCACAATTGGTCGAACCGGGTTTCTGGAAATCCGATTAGGGCATGTGTGCTGATTGCAGCCTCCTTATTGTGAAGGGGAGCATTATTGTGCATGCATATGACAAGGAGAGAAAGAAAAAGGTCATTAGGAGAGAACTGAAACACTGAGTTTCACACGAACACTTGTGCACAAATGGGAGGCTGTAAATTCTCCCTTGACAAATGAGACCCCTGGTGCTGTGCAGATCAGAACAGTCTGAATTTAAACAGTGGTACACAGACCACATTTGTTTGCTGGCCAGTATATCATCTTAACACCTCCTCACAGTAAAGTTGCCATAACTCATTCTAGTTAAGTTTACCAGAAGACTTCTGTTGTTATAACCCTAGTTTTTAGTCACTCAGAACTTTATGAAACCGTCTTCTTTAAAACAGATGTTTTCCGGACTAAAAAACTGAAAGGCCTGGAGGTGAATTTCATGTTTGTTCATGTAGGGCAAAATCAGTTAATCCATTCTTAACAGAAACCAGAGTGCAAACAGAGTGCACCATCCATCAGATACAAATATGTTTACAACTTTTGTTTCAACTGTTTCATAGCCGAAGATTTTGAGCCTGACTTGGACAGGAAAATCATCCTTCCCAGGAGCAGCAGCTTTCCTTTATTTAAAGGAAATTATTTCAGTTCAACAGAAACACCCATGCTTGAAAATCACGTAAGCATCCATAGCAGCAATTTGGTCAGAAGTGTGCAGCTACGAATAGTTGCCTGCTACATGTCTGCAGAGCTAACTTAGCAGCACAGTACAACCTACTTTTGCAAGTCTCCACTAATTTTGGATGCCTCCACTTTTGGGTAGCCAGCTGTAAACACAGGAAGTTCAGTTTTGCCCTCAATGACATGGGTATAATCTACAAATACCGAACTTTGAAGGGTCTAAGCACATGCACATTTCATGGACTTCATTTGGGGGTGCTCAATAGCTCTAAAACAATCAGACCCTAGTGTCTCAAACAGGGTATTCACAAGAGGAGGCCTCCAGAGCTCATTTCTAGATGTAGGCCTGAACTGAATTCACTTGTATTCTCCCTTGTCAAGCTGATTAAGTGGATTGTCATAGATATGTAGACTGATAAAGACATAGACATGGATCTGATAAAGTAGACTGACATGGACAGGCTTTCCTACTGTAATGGCTTCTTTTTGTGGGGGAAGATCAACTAGGTTGCGAGCCAAAAGATCTTCAATTCTGTTCTCATCTCGTCTGCTATATGACCTTCATTCTCTTTGCGTCACCCTCTTATTTAGGAAGACCACATATTTCTAATTTCAGTACAAGGCAAGTATTTTTACTCCCACTACAGAATATGTAAGGAAGGTAAAAAAAAAGGCAGTCATGGAAGAGTACAGAAATCTTAGAGCTAGGAACAGACGTCTGGACTTCTAAAACGAGCATGGTACGTTAGGAACACAGATTCAAATGTACTTACTTAATCAGGTTGCCTGAAAAATGGGGCTAGTCAGGCTTAGTCATCTTTTTATGAGCTTTGAGATATGGGGGTAAAAAGTGCTATATGCTTCCAGGTTATTACTAGGCCCATTCTATACATAGAGAGACATAAAGGTTGACTGATTCTCAAGAGGCTACACACATAAATTAGGATTTGGGCTGGGATTTCTGAGGTGAAGAGGTATTTTCAACAGGCACTAACTTGGGTATCTTCTGTTAGCCCTAAGGCATATTATGAACGCCTGCCTTATTAGGTTTTCATTATGAGGGCATTATTGTTAAGATCTCAGTGTCAAGTTGGTCAAATGTAATTAGAAAAAAGTAGGTTTGATCCTCATGGAAAGGTCTGTGCCAGATCCAGCACCAACATGGGACTGAGCCAGCAGGCAGTCTAGAGTCCCTGGCACTGATTTGACATTCAAGACATAGGCGAACAAATGCAGCTTATGACCAAAGGGCTCAACTCCTACCAGTGCAACAATTGCTGAACTTAAAGGAAGTTGAAGAGACAAACCACTTTTCTGATGCTAGAATAGGCCTCAAATGGGTCAGAGGGTCAAGGGAGATGTAGCAGGAAAAGCAACTGACAGGAACATTTAAGATAAATTTTAAGGCATCTCACACCCCAGACTTTCACTTACATGTGGACCCTTCTTCAGCCTCTCCTGACTTCACTGCAGGTTGCATTTGTTTCACAACAGGCCTGAACTGCTCCCCACATAACACCAAACGCAAGTAAGATACCCACATTTTGCACACCCCTGATGTACAGACGGCACATCTAGTCAAGCTGCACAACTGAGTTGCATTTGCTTTACATCTAGCTCAGCACCACCAAATAACGCATGCCATTTATATCAATGTTGAGTTTGGCTCTAAGGAAACAACTGTCTTTGTTTTTAAATGAGGCAGAAAACTCACTGAAAAAGGACAAACTGCTAGTTAAAATTGCATGCATTTCATTTCTACATTTTTTAATGTTTACATTTGTTTTAACTTTAATTGTTAAAGTCCAGTTTAACACACTTAATTTGGATGTTATTCCAGCATTTCACCCTTAACTCCTGTATGTGCTCTGAATTTTAATCCTATCTTGATACTATGTCAGGGATTTTTTTTTTTTTTTGATTCAAAGGTCTATATAAAGAACTGTTTTGGAGATATACTTTCAGTCATTAATAATGTTAAATTCCAATTTTAAATTCCAATGAGATTCACTGATACAGCATATGGGCAAATCAGCTAGAGGGTATCAGCTCAAAGCAGTCAGAACATACAGGCCAGTTAGCTGATTTTATAGCTGCATTATTTTGCTAAAGCAGCTAAACATACACCGCATTTTCTTCCTTTTTCCATATCTTCCAAATTCTTCCCACATCACTGCACTTTCTTGCATTCCCCTGTATACCAGCAGAGAAAAATTTCCTGCAATAAGCTTCTCTTGAAATTAAATATGATAATTAATGGCATTATTTTTACCTTTGTTCCATAAAACTAATACATCATAAGAGAAGCTCACAAAGAATTATCCTCTTTCCAAATGGTTGCCATCTCTTTTTGCTCTCAGTGAAACCGAGGTCAACACTGCCTTCAGGTAAGAGACCTTTTTCAAAATGGCTAGCATCTCCCATCAGTCTCAACAGCCAGAGCAAGAAAAACCTCAGGGAGAACGTGCACACCTTGTGCTGTCCGTCAGCCGGAAGCAGCACTCCGAGTGGTATCTAGCAGCTTCCTCTCACAAGGGGCTGTCACAATGAAAGATATCAAACCATTATGAAAGTTTCATTCTTCACTGAATTATCTGTAGTTAAACAGAAGAACTTTCACTTTGGAAGGATAAAAGGGAAAAAACCATGCATTAGTAGATCAAGGAAAAAACTATCATGTGCCACCTATGTATAAGGTTACAGGGCATTTTAACTATACTGAAAGTCTGAAAACTCCACGTTCTTCCTTTATTAAGATGCCCAGGGTGAAAAAGAGATAGCACGTTCTACTTTTATCAAAGGACACATTTTTAATTTATGCTTTAGCTTCTTATCTATGGAGTTCCTTGTGAATTCCTAGAAAATAAATACTATGGCTAAACTGATTCCAATCATGTCACAACCCCAATCAAACGGCGGCCTGCTTTGAGGTAAAGCGTCTTGCCCTGGAAGCAGAGAAGAAAGACTGGAGGAAGGAAGAGAGAGAAATCCAGGCCTATGGAGTACTTTTCCCTGAGAAAACCCGTAAATTCTGCAGGCAGGTCTGTGGCTCAAGAATTGGACTCAAGTCACCTCAAGACCCATCAATGAACTATGATAGAAGTCATCCTTGAATCAAGGGATTGTGACGATGCAATTTTGGGAAGGATAATGTTCTATTTTCCATATGTAGGAGCTTGCATCCCAGCTATAAGAGGAAAAAAAATTTAAACCAACTTTAACTATGGAGCCTCAACTGGTATCTCCACAGTACTGACTAGATTTGCCAAGCCAGCGATATAAAAAACTGATTACAAGGCCAGTATTTCCTCTCCTGCATGCAAGAATGCCCCCTCCCTGCCCACATGCACAGAAAGAGAAGAAACTATACATGCCGCCCTCCCCAGAAAAGGCTCAGGGCAGCATATTTATTAGTCAAGAAATGTTGAATTCTGTTTGGCCAAGAGACAAACATACAGAAAAGAAATACATTTCCATAAAAATAAAAACTATAATCAGACCTCAGAGGCAGGTTCAATCCATCCTCAAAGCTTTTTATCAATGGAGAATTTTAGAATAGATGCAAATACAGCATTGCTATACTGAGCTATTGCTGTGTTATACACCAAGTTTGAGATGAGCTCTGAAATGTGACCTGGAGGACACAGTACACTGACATACAAAGTATTTATGAAAAATATGTATTTAAAATAAAGAACTATAACAACTTAAACTTTATACAAAACATTATGATTGAGACACTCAAAGCAGTCTGTAAAACACAGACAACATTATTTAAACTAAGTAGATGAGTCCCATTCCCATTGACTGTTTTGAAAATCTCATCCCATGCGTCTTCCCAGCAGCTGTTCCCAGTCCTTTTCTTCATATAACTCCTTTCCTGGTCAGATCAGTCCAAAGTGCCTAAAAATTCAGAGGGGAAAATCACTAGGGTCAGAAAGAAGCAGAGATATAAAAACAACTGAAATTATTTTGCAAGCTGCCAAGGGCAAACGCTGTAACTTATGAAAGCTTAACCACAGTTTCTAATGCTGAGTGCAACGTTACCAGGTGAGCCATTAGCTACGAAAGCCCATGGCAGAAACGTCTTAAAAGATTGATTTTAGATTCTTCCTTTCTAAATATGGAGACAATGTATGTACAAGCACAAAGAAAAAATGGAATGAAGGCATACAGAAACTCACCTTCCAGAAAAGCAAACTCATCAATGGCTTCAATGGCATTATCTACAAAACAAAATGATGGAAAACATTTAATACAAATAGAAAAAAGTAAATCATAGAAAAGTAGAGCTCCAGAGGTCATCTAGTCCATCCCCTTGCAGCAGGATCATCTCTATCCAAACCATCCCATACAAAACCTTGTCTAACCTATTACTAAAACTACACAAGCAACCCTGCTGCACAACTACAAGGCGCACCACCCCAACTTGTCACAGGTAAGCAGGGGGCAATGGTGATCAATGTCTTGCTTCTCCAAGTGTTATTAAAATGCACTTGAGAGATCTGAGCAGAGATGTGGGGCAGAAAATTTTCCAGTGCTTTATTTTTCCCGTGGGAAATTTTCCATTTCTAAAAATTCATTGTTTCATAAAATTCATTAGTAACAATGAATGGATGCCAATACAATATTAGGCAAGCTTGGCAGTTTCAAAGTTGTAATTAATGTTTTTTCAGATGATTATCCCTAGGGACTGTGCGAGAGAGTATATATATGTTTTACTGATTTGTAAACAGGAGGATAAATACACTCACATAATAATCCAAACCAAAAATCAAGTTATGAATTCACCTAATTGGCTGTGCAGGTCAAATCAAAATCAAAGCACAGCACATCATGCACAGTTCTCTGGGTGTGCTAAAATTAGTGTGTCAACAGCTTTCAGTGCCTTCGGTTTTTTTCTTAAATTTAAACAAACAATGCAAGGGAAGTGTATGCTACTGTGTATTGTCTTTGCATTTTTACAAGTATTCCAATTAAAATAATTTCTTTCCTCATAAAGCTTTGGCTTTGTTTGAATATTACATTTAAACCACATTAAGTTTGCTGTATTTCATTTTTTTCCTTATCAGCTATTTCAGTTCAAATACTCGTGGCTATTGGGACATAAAATTAACATGGGGTACTTTTTTAGTTTTGTTTACTAAATGTAAGTCAAATAAACATGCTAAATCAGATCACACTCTATTTAGGACATTGGAAAATTTTGTAGAAAATTTTCCAATTCAAAATTTTCCGGAAAACCCACATCTCTGGATCCGAGGAAGAGAGCCACACTCTCCCACTTTAGAGGAAGGCAAAAAAGCCTCCAAGCCCATACCAATCTGACAATGGGGTAAAAGTCCCCCTCCCCAAAATACCTTTTCATTCAATTTTTAACTGTTCATAGAACCATTTGTATTAAGCTTGGGGTTTTTAACCTTTTCATTTAACAAACACTACGATTTGGGCCTAAATCAACCAGACTGAATAACTTTGGTACATGCTGTCACACAAAGCTCTAATCTCATGCAGTCACATCTTGACATTATCCAGACACACAATATCTGTGCTATGTGAACAGGTAAAAAAGAAAGTCTACATAGATAGAAAGATGTTAAGAATCCCAACAATCATTAACAATACTTTGCTCCATAAGTACCCAGAACAGGGATTCCAGCAACCTTCTCTAAAGCAGATGGTGCTGCGTAGGGTAGGCAGGAGGATACCAAATTACCGTATTTACCCAAATCCAAGATGAGACTAAATTTAAGATGACCCCCCGCCCCAAATAATTAGATTCTATACATGAAAAATGCAGAAATCTCTTATAATTTTCCATGCACAGAATCTAATTATTGGAAGGTCATCTTAAATTCATCCCTCCCACCACTGCAGCAAGGAAAGCAGTGGTGGGGGAGGAGGGGTGGATAAGCAATAAGGAGGCAGGCAGTGCCCCCCCTGCCCCCCCAACAACTTATCCCCCACACCCCTGCACCCCCTGGTGCCTGCCTCCCCCTCCCCTGCAGCCTCTGCCCCTTGCCTCTAGTTCAGCTCCGGCCAGGGCATGGAGCATGCCTGCTCCAGCCCTAACCCAGCCACTCTGTGCCCCAGGCTGAAGCAGGGTTGGAGCCATGCCAGAGCTAGTGGGTAAGCAGCAGAAGAGGTGGGGGGGAGAAGGCAGGGAGAGCAGACAGGGGGCAGAGGCAGTGGGGGAGCCAGGGGGCAGGCAGCAGCTGTGGCTCTGCACTTGACCCTGGGTCAGCACCAGACCTGCAGCAGCTGCCTGCCCCCTTGCCACCTTCTACTCAAATCTAAGACAGCGGGGCTCCCCGCCTCCATGGTTAATGGGGGGAAAAAAACTCATCTAGGAACTGAATAAATATACTAGATGCAGAAGTATTTTAAATAAATGACATTAAACTTCTACAGCAACTAGTCACAGAAATTCACTCATTTTGGAGGCTGTAAGTAAAAGGTTGTACTGTGTAGTTTACGAAATAGTTTTCCTTTCATCTCTGGGAACAAGAGGGTAAAGTTTTAAATCTGCACCTACAAATGTCACTTCACAAATAGAAACAGATGGAAAACATTTATTCTAGCAGCTTTACTGACAAAGGTTAGCACAGGAATATTCTTCCTACCCAAGTCTTTTCTCTGAAGAGTTTTCCTTTTTCCTTGCTGGGCATATACATAAGCATCTTTAGCTATGGTTTCAACAAACAATTCCTGTAGGATGGAAGAAAGAGTTTGTCACGAAGACTGAAAGATGTAAGTCCATTTTGTTATAAGCAGCCAGAGAAAACGGAGTCAGGCAGAATTTCAGGAGGAAATTGTAACCCCTATCAAGAGGCTCCCTTTTCCTTGAACAGCTCCAAGACGGTCTGACAAAATCATTACACTATTAAGACAATTGCTGCATTACAGGGAAAAGTATAAACATGGCAAAGGCATCCTGCGTGCATTAGGCAGCGAGGGAAGACAGCGTGACTCTTGCTTTTGTTCTCTGGCAAACCATCAGCTGTAAACATGCAACACATTTTTTTTTGATTCTGTGAGTCAGTCTTCAGCTCTGTGCCCACGCTCGACATTCATACCCCAAGACCCGAAACTGGTTTGGGATTTACTTTGGGAAGCTCCAGTCTGGGCTTCCATGAACCAGTGGTGCTCTAATTCCAGGAAACAATGTAAAGCAATGCTTTAGCCCAGATCAGCAACCTATGGTTCACAAGGTATCAGTAGCACACAGCTTGGCCCAGTACATTGTCCCTCTCCACCCAGCACCGTGCAGCTGATCCCCCCCCCACAGCAACCCCCCGTGACACACGGCTGACTGTCATCGCTGAATTTGGGCTTTATCACTACCTCTGGGGCAGGGATTGGAAGTCCATGGTGGAGGCACCAGCAGGCAGGTGTCACTATAAAAGGGAGAGGTGGCCCAAGGCAGAAGGAAGAAGCAATAGTTCATGGTAACAGCCAGGTCACAACCAGTGGCCCATCACTCTAAAAGGCTACAGACCCCTGCCTTTGCTAAGGGCCATACCATTTCTGGGCAGCAGGAGCCACAGGTCCAGTGGGCTACAGTCTCCCAGGCCACAGGCAGGACGGGCTGCACACTGTCGGGGTGGTCCACCTGGAGCCCCTCACCACAAAGGCATTCAGCAACCCCCACATGTATCACCGCATGCACTACGCAGACAGCCAAGCTCCTCTCCTGACCACATGCACAGCACAAATAGCCTAGCTCCTCTCTTGGGTGTGCACACAACCAGGCTCCCCTCTCCCTTGGGTGTATGCCGGACTCCTCCCCAGTCCTCCTCCCCCTGTGCTGCCCCATGCCCAGGAGTGAGGAAAGGAAACAGAAGCCAGAAGAGAAAGGGGGATCCCACAGACCCTGGCCACCATAGCAGCAGGAGCACTGGCAGTAGCGGTGGCTGCATGGGAGCCCACAGGCTGCATGTTAGCCCCTTGCAGGCCACATGCGGCCAGTCAGACAACCCTGCTTTAGCTCATAAAGAGGTGGCCAATCTGTTCAAGGACAGCTCCACTCAAAGTTAATTATGACACGCAATGAGTTGACGTGGCTGTGCAATCCAATGTAAGGCATTTGTCAGAGACGCCCACCACTGCTCTGAGAGTTGATACGACTTTTAACAGACAAATTGCAATGATTTGTAATTACCTTCTCTCACTACCAAGACAGCTTCTTAACTGTAGCAAGTGAATACATCTTATGCAGTGCTCGGAAGGCCACTAAACTCAGGCTGCGACTTCTCATGGAGGGGAACAAGGTCTATGGTTGAAGACCTCATCCAGTGCCCACATACCAGCTTCTAAAAGAGCAAGCCTAACCAAGAGCAAGAGCAGCCCACCTGTTCTCTTTCAGAGTACCAGGAAATAGTTACCAGAAAGACCATCTAGATTCCAGGATACTTACAGCTAATTGATCCTAATACCTGGAACTGCAGCTAGAAGAAATCAGCTAGGAATCAGTGTAGAGCACAGGTAAAAAAAAATACTCATATAAACTTTATGCAACTAAAAAAAGGGGTTCCCATTAACTGAAGGTCCCAAACGCTCTTCCAAGACAGCCCCAAGTAGAGGGCACTATATTAATTAACAGGTGAGAAATGTTTTTTGCAATAACGTCTAAGGCAGAAAAGGAGGTGACAGCCTCCCGGACAGCACTTATAACCATCACGAGTACGTGAATCCCAAGGACCTGACGCTGGGGACATCTCTGACAAAAAGCAGACACAGGAGCAAAGCCACTCTGCAGACTTCTGTCAGCCAGCCAGCACCACCGAGGATGACTTGAACCTAAACTGGCGCAGAACCATCTATGTCCCAACCCTGCCCAAGGAAAGGCACGAGGAGATCGCAGAGCGAGTTACAGAGTATTTTCAGTGAGGACAACAAGGTGGAATATTGCAGGCTCCCAGACCTGACAGCCCAGCAGGAGATGAACTATACCTCTTCAAAATCTCAAAAGAGCCAAAGAAGAGCCAAAAAAAAGAGCAAGAAAAGCCTCTGAAAAAGAAGCCAACTTGTTCAGCAGCCACAGAAGCAATCGGTGTTCAAAGAGCTGCAACAACACAGACCCAAAGTGGCAAACACGCTCCAGCTGAACAGGAAAAATCCCTCCATTGGTGAACGCCTGCACAGTCTGACAGGGGAGCCTCCTGCCACCGATCGTGCGGGACAGCACAGTGAGACAGACGTACCCCACAAGCAAACTCCGCGCACTTCCTACAAAGAGCTACAGGTGAGAAGACGAGGCTCAGGAGTCAGGGCTGGACTATCCCCATCCTCCCCTGGTGAAGTGCCCAGGGCATCCCATCTCCTCCGGCCTCCTGCGGACGCAGCAGTCTGCGGGTGAGGCTTGCGCGGTGCAGCCCTGCGCGCGCTTTCGGCAGCTACGTGACAGCACTCGCCGAGCCCAGCTGGCAGCCGCACGCCTCCGGGTCCGCCTGGTGCTCTCCACATACTACCTCGTTAGTCTAGTCAGGGCACAAAGGTACCCAACGTCAGGCCAGGCCTCTCTTGGACCGCTGTCTGCCACCAGGTCAACCAGCACGGCCGGCTGCGCCGTCCAGCTCTCGGCGACTAGCCCCGCGCCCGCCTGGCAGGACTTGAAGCAAGAGCCAGCCGGCGCCCATCCATACCCGGAGGAGACGGGCGCTGCCACCGGGCGCGAGAAGCGGATCACCCAGCAGCG